TCAGATCCAACTGGTTTTTTCTTTATTTTCTGTTTTTTAAAATCTTCTAGGTCATATAACTACAAACTAACTTTCCTTGAGATCAGGTGACAATCCTAAGGCCAATTAGGTGTGACAGAGTAAGACTAGGATGGGAGGGGACCAGCTATGCCAGAGGTACTTTGGGCAGTTTCCCTAAGAAGTGTGTTTGGAAATGGCAGCCAACAAATGGCCTGGCATAATTGTATTATGTATTTTATACTTTTATACTTTCTTTGTATTATTATGTTTATGTCTTAAAAATATTATACTTTGGTATTTTTTTAAAACTGTGATGCTTTTCCTTTGGTACTTTCACATGCTTTATAATTTTGTTTTTAAAGTCAGTTATATGTCAGTACCTTCAGTTAATCATTCTATGTCCAATTTTCAGCTTTATGTTCACGTATATATAAGTATGTTTGAAAATAATTTGTTCATAAAATAAAAAAAGTTAGTTCTGACTGGAGCAAAGGAACATTCTTCCCTGTTGTTGCTGTTGTATTTTTTAAAAAGAATCTCTCAAATGCAACCTCCAAATTATGTCTTATTTTTTTAGCATCTTATGGCATAATTGTACCTTTTACCCTACAGTAATTCATAATTAATTATTAGGTTTGCACTCATTCTCACCTTCTCTAATGCTTTCATTACTGCCACTGAGATTCCTATAGCCTTTACAGTTTATCATGTTATTCCTCTGCTTGAAATACTTCAGTGATGTTTTAGGATAATGACCAAAATCTTTTTTTAAATTTTTAAATTTTATTATGCCATTACAGTTTTTCTATTCCCCCCTTCATTCCCCTCCACCCTGCACACCCCTGCCCCTACCATTCCCCCACCTTTAGTTTATGACCATGTGTCTCAAGTACTTTAGATTCTGTATTTCCCATACTATTCTTGCCCTCCCCTCTATTTTCTACCTACCGTCTATGCTACTTATTTTCTGTATCTTCTCCCCCCTTCTCCTCCTCCCACTCCCCTGTTGCTAACCCTCCATGAGATTTTAATTTCTATGGTTCTGCTCCTGATCTAGCTGTCCTTTTAGTTTGCTTTTGTTTTAGGTGTGGTTCTTAATAACTGTCAGTTTGCTGTCCTTACACTGTTCATCTTTTTTATCTTCTTTTTCTTAGATAAGTCCCTTTAACATTTCATATAATAAGGGCTTGGTGATGATGAACTCCTTGAATTTGATCTTATCTGAGAAGCACTTTATCTGTCCCATTCTAAATGAAAGCTTTGCTGATAGAGCAATCTTGGTTGTAGGTCTTTGGATTTCATGACTTGGAATACTTCTTTCCAGCCCCTTCTTGCCTGTAGGGTCTCTTTTGAGAAATCCACTGACAGTCTGATGGGAACTCCTTTGTAGATGACTGTCTCCTTAGCTTTTGCTACTTCTAGGATTCTCTCCATTTTAATCTTGGCTAATGTAATGATGATGTGCCTTGGTGTGTTTCTTCTTGGGTCCAACTTCTTTGGGACTCTCTGAGCTTCCTGGATTTCCTGGAAATCTATTGCCTTTGCCAGATTGGGGAAATTCTCCTTTATTATTTGTTCAAATAAGTTTTCCATTCGTGGCTGTTGCTTTCCCCCTTCTGGTACCCCTATAATTCGGATGTTGGAGCATTTAAAGATGTCCTGGAGGTTCCAAAGTCTCTTCTCATTTTTTTGAACTCGTTTCCTCATATTTTCCTGTTTGGCCACTATTTTCTTCCTTCTGGTTCACTCCCTTGATTTGAGTCCTAGTTTCCTCTTCATCACTATTGGTTTCTTATGCAATTCCCTTCATTTCAATTAGTTTAGCCTTCATATGTTCCTCTAATTTGTGACTATAATCAACCAGTTCTGTGAGCATCCTGATCACCAGTGTTTTGAACTGTGCATCTGAAAGTTTTGCTATTTCTTTGTCACTTAGATTTATGGTCTCTGGGGCTTTGAGATCTTCTTGAGCCATTTTTGGTCTGTTCGTGCCCATTAATTATGAGGAGCAGAGCCTTAGGTGTTTACCAGGGCGGGGCCGCCCAGGTAGCTGGGTTGTGACGCTGTATGTGGGGGCGGGGCAGGGTCAGAGCAGGGAGATAGCAGCCCCCTCTGCTGCCTCTCGCCCCTGGGGCCTGCTTGGTCATCTCACTGCCCACTCCCTTGCTGGTCTATCTGTGCACGAATGCGGGACCACAGTCAACCTGCAGCCCTGCATCCTCGCTGGGTACGCCGGTCCCTCACTGGGTCCACGCCTGGGATCTGCGTGCCTGAGTCCATCTGACCAAGTTTTCCTGTGCAACCATGCTCTGCCAGCTGCTGGCTTTGCCTCTCTTACCGATCAGGCTGAAGAATTTGTTATCAGACTTCCGAAAAGTTCAATTTTCTGTGTTCTGGCTGTGTTTTCTGTTGCTAATATTTTGTTGTCTCTAAACTTGGTTGTGGGAGAAAGCACGGCGTCTCCACCTATGCCTCCATCTTGGCGGAAGTCCAAGAAGGTATAGGGTAATGACCAAAATCTTGAATATGGTTCAAAGCCCTGCATGATCAGGTCCCAGCTTACCTTTCCACCTTACTCTCAGCTCCAGTTACACAAGCTTTCTTTGATTTTATTTTAAAAATCATGAAAGTGTTTAAACATTCTAAAAGATAACAGATTAATGAACCCATACAACCAATTTCCATAGTAATCAAGATTCAGCTATATGCATCTCTAAAATATATGTACATCTTATTTTTTTCAATTTCTTTTATGTAGCCAGGTTAACCGAGCTTCTAGGGTAAGATGGTATGTTATGAATCCAGTCTTGCTGAAGAAACAATTTCTTTGGGCCTCATCCTGTCCTTTTGTAAATTGGGAGTAATAACAATATATATCTCACATTGTCATTGTGAAGAATAAATTAATGCATACACTGAAAAAGCTTAGAACACTGTCTGACATCTAGTACATAGTGAAGCCATGATCATTTAGGAAAAGTCATACATCTTCCTACCTCAGGGCCCTTGTACAAGCTACACACACAATTTTTCTCTTGTCCTCTCACACTTTGTTCAGTTTATGTCTACCAATAGTTTAAATATCACATTTTCCAGGAAGATTTCCCCAGCCTTCCCCGATTAGGCTCTATTTTCTGAACATATATTATGCTTTTCCTGCATGGCAGTTATTTGATATTATTAATTTGTGAGGCTGATTAACAGATGTCTTTCCCATTATACCATAAGGAAGCTCCATGAGGGGAAAACATGGTATCTGTTTAGCTGTTTCATATATTTTATTAAGTTTATTGAGGTGACATTGGTTAATAAGATTATATGTTTGGTTGTTTCAAATATCTAATACTTAATGCAAAATGGATACTCAAAACATTTATTCAATATTTAAGGATCAATTTCCTTTCATCTAATTTGTTTTGGATTAAATCCCCTCCTGTCAATATGTATATAGCTAATTACGATAAATGTAACAGTAAGTAAATGTTTAACAGGCTTAAACAACTTGTTTTCAGTGATTTAAGGGACTAAAAATATTGGAAGTATACTTAGGGTAACAGTGATTTTTGTGCAGCTTTATTCAGAAGAAAAATAAACACTTCTAGGTATAAAGTTTGTCTATTGCAGTTTAATTCTAAAATAGAAGATGATGATGTGGAAGTTGCGAGAGGTGTAAGCTAACAGTTAAGCCTCCCAATAAGTCTTCAATTCACACTCATATTTTTGCACAATTTCTACTTGTGATGAGTTTAGGGGATTTGATGACAAAAACTTTAGTGTCACCCTGGCTGGCGTGGCTCAGTGGATTGAGCGCTGGCTTGTGAACCAAAGGGTTGCAGGCTCAATTCCCAGTCAGCGCACATGCCTGGGTTGCAGGCCAGGTCCCAGGTAGGGGGTGTGTGAGAAGCAACCACACATTGATGCTTCTCTCCCTCCCTTGCCCACTCTCCAAAAATAAAATAAATAAAATCTTCAAAAAAAGTTTTGTGACATTAAATCTGTCTTTTTTCTAGAAGAACCCACATATATATATGAATTAGATTTGTAATTTGTTTATTACAATGGTGATAGAAAAATGTTTTACATAAAAATTTATTTTCCCAACATACTAGTCACTTATTTTCAAGTTTCCAAATCATATACCCAACTATTAGTGAAATAAAATGTAAATAACCAACCTCAGATAAGTTTCAAAAGCATCTTTTCTTAAAGTTCCGTTCACAAACACACCCCAAGTAGTTTACTCTTACTTCTAATCCAGAGCATTTATAAGGCAGTTTACAGAACCAGTGCAGAAGAGAAAGAAGATATGTCCAAATTCTCTATCTTGCATGCTGTTCTATACTTTCCTCTTGTTAAATCATTCTGCACATTAGCATATTCAATATTAAAAACTCCAAGAAACCTGCTTAACTTGGTTTAAAATTTTTAGAAACTTATTTGACCACAGAACCTATAAATGTCCCTCAAGACTAGGGTTATCAAACACACTTTGAGAATTGCTAATTTGGCTGCATTCAAGATTGACTAGTCCAGAATGCTATTTAAATTTTTTTTAAAAACCTTGATTATAGTGGTTCCATAACTCCTTAGTGACCTTTAAGAGTTTACAAATCATTCATTTATATAATTCACTTTAGAATTTATCTACTTGATATGTTTTATAATTTGCACAATCTTTTTCCTTTTTTTTAAATTATATATTAATTTACAGAGATAATATACTTTTTTTAAAGATTTTATTTATTTATCTTTAGAGGGGAAGGAGAGAGGGAGAGAAACATCAATGTATGATTGCCTCTAGTGCGTCCCCTGCTGGGAACTGGCCTGCAGGGAACCGGCCTGCAACCCAGGTATGTGCCCTGACTGGGAATCAAACCACGATTGTCTGGTTCGCAGGCCCGAGCTCAATCCACTGAGCTCTTTTTTCCTTTAGAAAAGCAAGATTGATTTGCCCATCTTAACCTTTGAGTACCTTAACGATTTTCTTTAAAACTTTTCAAGGCTCAGTAACAGCAACTTAATAACCTCTTCTTTTATGTTTTTTTTTTTTAACTGAGCATGAGTTTTAAATCATCCTCTCCTTCAGGACAATATGAGTTCTCATCATTGACCTTCTATCATGTTCTTAATGAGAACCTGGGGGAATGGGAGTAAAGTGGTACCTAAAGCATTTGAAAGAAAATGCAAACAAGCTTTATTACCTTTGGAAGGTGAAATTTTAAAGCTGTCAGCAAAGTACACTGATCCTTTCAAATCAGTAGCCTGACACAAAAGATGCATGCCAGAATGTTGTGAGGAATTATTTGAAAATACATGGCACCACTGGAGTTAAGACCTGAGTTATGTGTATTGCAAAAAGTTCACAAGGTGATTTTGATATATATTTCTAGATAAAAATTCTTGCTTTGGATAAGATATTCTTCACTGTAATAATTTAACAATAAGGATAATTTAGCTACTATTTGCAATAAAGATGATAAAGAACTGTGAGCTTTTCATTTTTCTTGTTTCAGGCCATGGGTCTATGGTATTTTCCTGAGTACACTGCATTGTGATTTCTTTAATAGTAGTTTAGGGTGCCCTACCATTATTCCTTGATGTGGCTTGTCAGAATTAAGATAGTAGGACTACTTTTCCTCAAGGTATACATTTCTTCAACTTGATCAACCAATTCTTCCTCTGTAGTTAAATTTAAGCTTCGAAGAGTTTTCATAACCCTTTTTCTTCTTCCTAAGAGCAGAAAAACAACAAAGGTACCAAAAGTCCTGCTGGAGTATTTCAGCACATTCTTTAGTAGATTACATTTCTCAGTACAGTCCAGTGTTGCCTGTGTGTTACATTGTCTTACTGGTAAACTATACATTTACATTCATGTGGCTAGACAGTCTGTAGTATGCCCCCACAATAATCTCCTCTCTCTATTTTGTCCTCAAAGTGATCTCTAGAGCAACCTTGTTACTGTATCTCTTCTAAATATACAGCACTACACCACTTCATCTCTTAAAGGTTCTGTTTCTTCTAAGTTATTTTTTCTATCACATTCCAATAGCTTTACTCCACCAACTCTTAATCATATATATTTATATATTAAAATATATTCATTATTATTCTGTTCAGTGAATTGTGTGTGACTTAAGTACAATCTGTGATGTCTGGGAAATTAAAGCATTTTTATTTTAGTATCTTAAAATCTTCAAATATCATAGTTTTTTAAAGAAACAAATACTGAATTTATTTTGGTGACTTAAAACAAGATATAATCTAAATAATTATTTTATCCTTGCAAATAGAACCTCCTACCTATAGCTAATAATTTAAGCACAGGTTACTATGCTTAAATGATTGAGATTTATGTGTACTTGGAATAATAACATTAAGTTTCAGCTGTCTTAGCAATACCAAAGGGAAAGAACTAGTTAAATGTCTACTTTGCTCCTAAACTACCAAGAGGTAAGACACATACAAATTTTATGGCAAGTAATCTAAAACTCTTCTAAAAATGATTAACTGTTATTCTATCCAACAAGAAAACAAATACAACAGATCTATCTAATGAGGTAAGACACCAGATACTCATCATGCAGTTTCAGTGTCTAGCAACAAACCACTAAACTTTAAAATTGTTTCACAACTTCTAATAACATATTCTAAGGGGTTGATAGCCACTATAAAGTATATATAAAAGTACTACAGCACACAATCCTCATGTAAATGTGCATATATATCAAAGATTCTCAAATGTAGCTTTGGAGTTCAACCTGGCAATCTCCAAAGTTTTCAGTACGTGTGTCAATGTGTGTGTGTGTGTGTGTATACATATATCTATATATGTGTGTGTGTAAACAAAGTCATTAGTATAACTTTTCATAACAGAATTTTACATGGAGTGGGAGAAATATCAAATGTATGAATACTGTACCTCTTAGAAAGCTGATGGCATCAATCTGTATTTTTCATGTCAAAATGTGACTGACTTGAGATGGCCCAAAGAACAAGTTATATTTTTCTCTTACCAAGAATTAAGAATGCAAAATATAACCATTAGAAATTAAAACAAAAACAAATAAGCATTTTAGAATAGTTTTTTCAGTACCTTCAAATTCTGACAAAATACAATACATTAAAAACTTAAATATATCAATTTTGTTTACTGCTACCAGACATTTTTAAAAACAATTTCCATTTTTTGTCCATATTCAGTAAATAACAAAATTGAACTCTTTGTTTTTTCATATCTGAGCTAACAGCTCTAGGACATTCCTAAAAAAAGAAATAATGTAACCAGAAATTTTAAAATGTTAAGATAGCTCAAAATAACAAAATATAATTGATAGTGCTAATGATGACCCTCTTTAAGCTTACACTTTAAAGGTTTCTCTTCATGAATGTGTCTTAATGGATTTTTTTGTTGTTAACAACGCCCCATTTACTCCAAACACACATGGCCTTTATTAAAAATAGCCTAAAATGTTGGTCACAATGCCAGAGATGGTCAGATTAAAAATAAAGTTAATGATAATAAAAATGGCCTTCCTTTTGTTAACTATTTTTTGTTATATGTGCATTTTAAAAATCATTATTTGACAAAAAAGTTGTAAAATATATATATTTCAAGTCTCAAAGTTAATTAAAAAAAATGAATAACATTTCATTTGAAAATAATAACTTCAGCTGGTAATGCAAGATTCCTCTGAGTTGTGAATCTATCGTCAGAACTATCACATTTTTAAGAATTTAAAAGGGGAATTCAAGGTAGGAGATTTTTTTTTCCTGCATTAAGAAGCAACTGATTAAAGATAGTACTTTTTTACATGTAAAAATAATTTACACTAAAAATCTCATGCACAAAGTCTGATACTTTATCAAAATAACAAGAATAAAATGAGCAATGAAAAAATAGCAAAAGCCATTATAAAAAATAGTAAATTCCTATTTAAATTACTGTGTTCACAGATTAAAAATGTTTATCGATTAACTGTATCACAGATTGTAGACTATTTTAAGCTATAGTATAGAAAGGTAACATGGAATATTTAAAATTGGAGCTGCACTTACCAAAATAGTTTTAACCTGAGTCTTAGATGTCTTCAGAAATGTAGCTGACAATAATATATGATATAGTTACTCTTTAGTAGTATAATTCAAGGTTATTGTTCTTTGAGTTACTGATTCTTCTTAAATATTTATGTAAAATTATAAATATTTATTCCATTTTGGAGCTTCTGGACACAAGGGAACATATGAATTTAAAAAGCTGTTATTTTTTCCTGCTATACAAGCACATAAAGCTGTCTTTCTTGTTCAAAATGCCTTAGAGTTCATCTTATTTTTGTATTTCAAGTTATTTAGGACAAATGCAAAAGATCAAAACAATTATCAGAGATACTTGAATATTCCCATGAAACATATCACACCCACTGAGGACTTTAATACAAATTCACTAAAGAATATCAAATTAATCATTTCTTCCTATAAATATTTTTTATTTTCTGTTTAGAAGTTGCAGTTTTAATTACTATTAACAGAAAATACATAACAAAAGCTTCCTAACAAGTGAAAAAAATAATTATAAATGCTGGAAAAATTGGCCTCATTAACATATTTACAGACTTAATACATATTCCATTGGAAATTAATTACATGACATTTATACAAGCATTAACATTTCCAAATCACTCTGAGTAGTGAGCACTTCAGTTTTTTACTGTCTATTCCCAAAGGTGACAGTCACTGAGTTTCAAGACAACACTGACAAGCATCAAAAATGGTCAATCTGAGATACTGCTGACACATTGTTCTGTTCCTTCACCTAAAGATATCTCTGTTGAGTAAGTGTCCTTATGCTTCTTCTTCTCTTTGCTCTGATCTTCCTGCAGCTTTAGAATTATGTTTCGAATTTCCTCTCTTTTTGTTCTCATTCTTGGGGGAGGAAACCAGTTGGCCAAATTCACAGGTAGTTCAAAATTAAGAATTGGATTCTGAAAATATAAATGTTAAATGCACATTAGAAAACTATAAGAAATAATAGTTTAGATTTTTAAAAAAAGCATTCCAGAGTTAAATGAAAAATCAATAATTTGTTTAGTACATGTTTACTTATTATCTATCATATGCCAGGCATTTTGGTAGCCACTGGACATATAAAATAGTTTCTGCCTACAGATCTTAAATTCTAGATCAGGGGTTAGCCATCCATGGCTAGTGGGCCAAATTCTGCCTACTGCCTGTTTTTATAAATGAAGCCTTGCTGGAACATAGCCATGTTAACTGATTTACATGTTGTCTGTAGAAGCTTTCTTGCCACAACATGAGAACTGAGAAGGAACAGAGACGGTATAGCTGCAAAGCTTAAAATACTACTTAGTATCTGGCCCTTTATAAAAAAGCTTGCTGACCCCAGTATAGACAGACAGATAACAGTTAAAAACAATGACTATGAGAAGTATTATGAAAGGAAAAGCAGTGAATCCTACAAAAATAAGTATCTGGGGGTTTAACACAATTCCAGAAAGTGATGTTTAAGCTAAGACCTAAAGTTAAGTACGAATTAGCCAAGTAAGGAATGACAGAAGCAGCCCTGGCTGGAGTAACTCAGTAGATTGAGCACAGGTTTTCAAACCAAAGGATCGTGGTTTAATTCCCAGTCAGGGCACATGCCTGAGTTGCAGGCCAGTTCCCAGCAGAGGACCCAAGAGAGGCAACCATACATTGATATTTCTCTCCCTCTCTCCTTCCCTTCCCCTCTAAAGATAAATAAATAAAAATCTAAAAAAAAAAAAAAAGAAATGACAGAAGCAACAGGAAAGTATTCAGGGTACAGAAGGTATGTACCAAGGTCTAGAGACAAGAAAGAACACAATACAATATTAAAAAAATGACATTCTGGTGGCTGGTTTATATAGACTGCTAGAGTGAGAACAGTAGAAAGTAAAGGCTAAGAGCTCGGACAGAAGTTCGATCATTCAGGCCACATGAATTTTTCTTTAACCCATGAGCAACAGGAAGACACTATAAGATTTAAAGAAACATGATTAGATGTGGGTTTTTGGAAAACAGCTGTGAAAAACAAGGTAGGAGGCAGTAGTTTATAATAGTGATGCTAGTATACTGAACTTCAAAAGCGGCATCAGGAACAAATAATTGAACATATCTGATATGAAGTCGTAAAATTCACAGGACTTAGTGGTAAACTAGATGGTGAATAAAGAAAGGAGTTGAGATAATTGTAAAGAATATCCAAGAGAAGTATGTGTGGTATTACACCTCTAAAGTCAAAGGAAGAGAGTGTTATAACAAAGAAATGGTCAGTGTTAAATGGTGCTGTGAGGTCAGGAACAATTTGAATATAAGAATGAGAATAAAGTCATATTACAGATTTGAGAAGTAGAATTTGTGGAACTAAAGACAGTGAATATGAACACATTTCCAGAAATGTATCTGAAAGAGGACAAAAGAGAGTGGAAAGACCTAATGGAGGGAGGAGTTGATCAGTGATGTGAAATGAGGTCACAAGTGCTGGATTTTATGAAATATGCAACCTTTCTATGCCTCAGAACTTCTCCAGTTTGGAAGTTTTTTGCTCTCTGGAATAGCTTTTGAAATGATAGTTTTTCAAACTTTTCAAAATATTTACTTATTGTTTTTTATACTAACATAAGATCTAATACAGTATTTTTAAATTTATTATATCATATCCAATAAATTGAAACCTACCTCAAAAAAGCTCTCAACATACTGCAATACATATACACCACAATCACTAAAGTTGTTTTGCTGGGGTACTTTTGGATTAGAGCCTTTCATAACATCTTTGGAAAAACTTCTTTTGCTTCCTTTTTTAACTTCCCATTCCACTTCTAAATACCTGTAATAATGAATATATCATAAGAATATACATACACACATAAATATATACAATCCTTTAGTTCCACCAGAATACAAAGTACAAGGTACAGATTTGAACTTACTCTCTTAGAATCTTTACAACATTTGATCGAGAAGGGCCTCTGAGTGAGTCCATCAGTAGGATACAAGGTCTGCAGGGTAGAAATGACCAAATTTTAACACTTTATAACGTTAAAAGTGCATAAAGTGCAAAAGTACATTAACAATAAAATATTCCTTTTGCATGCCTCAGTAAAACTTGGCGGGGGGAGGGAGGGCAACACAAAATAAAACTACAGATATACATGACCTAATAACAAAGATCCACAGTTATGTTAAATACCAAATAACAGAATATTAATCTAATTATATCTTAGTTATAAATATATTTCACAGAAGTTCCATAGCTGGTTTCTAAAAATACCTCAAAATTTAGCAGGATGGAGTTCCAGCCAAGATGGAGGGGTAGATAGAAACCCTTCGCTTCCTTGAACTAAAAGGAGGATAACAACCAATCTAAAAATAATAAACAAGCAAAAGTGCCAGAAAAATCAAACTGCGTGGAACTCCAACAACCAAGGAATTAAAGACACAATCAACCAGACCAACCAGATCAACCAGATCAGTAAGATAAGCAGACAGAGAACCTGTAAAGAAGTGGTGGACCATGGCTGCCTGAACAGAAAACTGAGACTCAGAGCTGACTATGGACTAAGGCAGGGGTTGCCACAGTGGGAGAAACTCCCAGTGTTACATGAGAGTTTGTTGGAAAGTTTGCTAGAAATGAGCAGATGATCTTCACTGTTCCCTCTCTGACCCCTCCCCCACAGATAGCACCACAGTGCAGCAAGGAGGGTTGCCCTACCCTGGTGAATACCTAAGGCCCTGACCCCTTACAACTTAATGTGAGCCAAGACTAAGAAATATGGCTGAAACAAAGCACAAAATTCCAGTAAAAGGCCTAAGTGACAAGGAGCTAGCCAATTTATCTGATGGGGGAGTTCAAAACCCTGGTAAACAAGATGCTCATAGAACTGATTGAGCTTGGTCGAAAAATGAAAGAATAAGAGCCACTCAAAGTGAAATAAAGCAAAATAGGGAACCAACAATGACAGGAAGAACACTAGGACTCAAATCAATGATTTGGAACAAAAGGAAGAAATAAACATCTAACTGGAACAGAATGAAGAAACAAGAATTCAAAAAAATGAGGAGAAACATTTGAACCTCTGGGACAATCTGAAACATTCCAATATCTGAATTATACAGGTGCCAGAAGGAGAACAACAACAGCAAGAAACTAAAAACTTATTTGAACAAATAGTGAATGAAAGCTTCCTCAATCTGGCAAAGGAAACAGACTTCCAGGAAGCCCAGAGAGTTCCAAAGAAGTTGGACCCAAAGAGAAAAACACCAAGGCACATTATCATTAAGTTACCCAAGATTAAAGATTAAGAGACTCTTAAAAACAGCAAGAGGAAAGAAGAGAGTTACCTACAAAGGAGTGCACATAAGACTATCAGCTGATTTCTCAAAAGAAACCTTACAGGCAAGAAGGGGCTGGAAAGAAGTATTTGAAGTCATGAAAGGCCAGGACCTACATCCAAGATTACTCTATTCAGCAAAGCTATCATTTACAATAGAAGGGCAGATAAAGTGCTTCCCAGATAAGGTCAAGTTAAAGGAATTCATCATCACTAAGCCATCATTATATGTTAAAAGGACTTATCTAAGAAATTGAAGATCAAAAATATGAACAGTAAAATGATAACAAACTCACAATTATCAACAACTGAATGTCTAAAAGAAAAAAAATGAAAACAAATACTAAGCAAACAACTAGAATAGGAATAGAATCAGAGAAATGGACATCACCCATGGAGGGTTTTCAGCAGGGAAGGGGAGGGGAAGCACAAGGGAGGAAAGGTACAGGGAAGAAGAAGCATAATTGGTAGGCATAAAACAGACAGGGAGTGATAAAAAAATGGTATAGGAAACAGAGAAGTCAAAGAACTTATATGTATAACCCATGGACATAAACTAAGGGGGATAAGCTGGAGGGTTGGGAGGTGCAGGATGGAGGGGGATAAAGGAGGAAAAATTGGGAAAACTGTAATAGCATAATCAATAAAATTTACTTAAAGAAATTTAGCAGATGTCAAAACAATTTTGAAAATGTGAATATATTATATTCCAAATTTCCAAAAGTAAGGTCATGCAAAAGTAGATGAAAATAATCCCATTTTGATGAAAACCTATTACAGATAACAAAACAGGTAATCATCCCATACATGAATTCACTTAGAATCCAATGATTTCTGCAAGATTCCACTTTAAACACTCAATACAAATCAGACTCAACCTTCAAAATTTTGTTACAAACCCAAGCAAGAAAGTCTAATATAATGCAAAATGACCTGGAATGTTTAAAGGTCTAGGGTTCTTCTGGCTAAAATTTTATGGGATTTGGAGCAGATCTCTTAACTGTTCTAGGTCTCTGTATTTTTCTTTATAAATGTTTTCTTTTCAAAAGCTGTTAGTGGAGTTTCAGCCAATATTTTCTACAAAAAGAAAAAAATCGAAAGAGATGAAGTCTACAGATAGGCAGAAAATTCATTACCTAAGAAGTCTCTAGAGACAGATTATATTACTTATGAAAACCAATACAGGTGCACTCTCATTTGGGACAGAAATCTCTGTGTGTGCACACATAGAAAAGGAGCAAGAGGAGGATTCAAATGATTACTCTCTCCCCAGTTTGATCCTCAGACATTGGGCATGACCCAGTTTTCCTCTCTGAACTTGACAGCCATTATAACTTTTACTTAAATACTTGTTTAGATAAAAACTATGCAGTCATGTTTTATTCTATGAAGGTACATAAATAAAAATTATCATGTAGTTTATAAGATATACATAGTTAATTCTTACTGTTTACAGATAGTAGGCTTTAAATGCCACTGTCCTACTTCTGAATTGCAAGTGTCATCAGCAAGGAATCCATCATCACTGCTATCATCCTATAAAAGAGAGCTTATATTAGTACTGAAAATATACAACTGAATAACTAATGACCTAACAAAACTGTACTATTGAGGATAAAAATCTTTGTAACAAATATGTAAAAAAAGTTTCTAGCCAGGCAATCAAACACTAGAAAATTTGTTATGTCACTCACTTCCAATTACCTAATGCCACCACAGTGACATTTTAATGAAAAGAAACTACAAATTAGAGGTCTCTGAAAAACTGTTACATCATTTACTCAATCTAGAATAAATTTCTAAACTCTAAATATATTATGACTGATTTTTCTCCATTCAAATACTACTGTTCTGATTTTAGTTATTTCTACAAAAACTTAGTTGGCTAAGACAATTGTTTTGCAATAGGATATGAATGACTTTTATTTATTATTCTTTTATATAATTTTTTAATCATAAATATTTCAAGGGTATTTGGAAATAGTTTTCTTTTTTTTTCTTTTTATTTTTAAAAGATTTTATTTATTTATCTTAAGAGGGGAAGGGAAGGAGAGAGGGAGAGAAATATCAATGTGTGGTTGCCTCTCATGCATCCACCATTGGGAACTGGCCTGCAACCCAGGCATGTGCCCTGACTGGGAATCAAACCGTGATCTTCTGGTTCACAGGCCTGTGCTCAATCCACTGAGCTACACCAACCAGGCTGGAAATAGTTTTCTTTAAAAAAAAACCACTTCACTTGAGAGGAGACAGCTTAATGATATGGTGTCTTATTCTATAAATTATCTTGAATATAAAATAAACAAGGCTTCTTTTGTTCTATGAAAAAGCTTCTGGCAACCTTATTAAAGAAATAACTGCTATGACTGAAGAAGCATAAGTGCCCACTACACACCTTAAATGCAATCTGAATGTGCCTGTGTTGGAGAGAAAAACTGTATTTCACAGCCATACATTGTTCATCTTTTAAATATGATAAAACATGGCTTTTGTTCATAAGAGGATTAAACAGGAAGAAGAAAGTGTAGTACAAAGTTATTTTCACTACCAGACAGATAAATTCATTTTGTCCTAACAACTAAAGAAATAGAGAATTAAAGAAACTGTATGCTGTAGGACTCTTAGAAACTTTTCTCTCAATAGAAAGTCCTCTTTAATTGAAGTTATGTATTTTCAATAATATACTTTATTCTGGGTGTTGTAAAGTTCATTAGAGCAAGTGAGACATTAAGTAAATATTAGAGTTGACCTATGTTAGTCTTAACTGAATATTATCTGCTCCTGCCAAAGATGTTAAATTAGACAAAAGAAAAAGAATCACTGGGAAAGTAGAAAAAGTAATATAATTCTGCTGTGCTCATGTACCAGCTAATTAAAATTTTAAACATCGTCCTTTTGAATTTCGAGTCAGACTAAAGGTTAGGTATGGCCCATAAATGATTTAAAAGAGGAAGAGAAAGGGGCAACTATTGGGTTGGCCAAAAAGTTTGTTTAGTTTTTTCTGTGCGGTGGTTCTAGTAATGCTTGGTTGTATTTTACTTCATTTGAAACCATGTTTTGTTAGATTGTATTGTGACTGCTGTCATATCAGTGTGCATTTTTTAAAAATATCAAAATTGGTAAATTTTTGTGCAGCCATTTTCATATTAAAGATGGAAGAAAGTATGCAACATTTTTGGCATATTATACTTTATTATTTCAAATGCAACCGACGCAAAAGATTTGTGTAGTGAATGGAGAAGGTGCTGACTAATGCAACGTGTCAAAAGTGGTTTGCAAAGTTTCTTGGTACTACTGACATTCTGACCAAGTAATTCTTTGCTGTCCGGCTGTCCTATGCACTGGGAGATGTTTAGCAGCACCCCTGGCATCTAGCCACTAGAAGCCAATAGCAGGAGGCAGCTGACATACTCAAAATATCCAAATCAAAAAAGTTATTCATGAAAATGAAAAACGTGTCTTTTATTTTATGGAAAAAACTAAACAGACTTTTTGGCCAACCCAACAGAACAAAACAGCCCTAATACATTTATCCTAGTAACTTTTTAACTGAATACTTAATTTTTGTTTTAAGATGAAATCCAAATCCCAATACAGGAGTTAGTGGCTGAAGAAAGAAAAACATTTAATTAGATAAAAAATGAGAACTGTTTGCCAAAAGCAGGTTTCACCTGGTTATCCTGATCTTCTGAGAAGTCGATGAGTTCATCTTCAAGCATTTTACTAGTAGCTTCAGCTGATTCATCACTATATTTTAGTCTGATTTTGTTCACATCATCTGTATTAATAAGAAACATTAGGTAATGAAAAAGGACATGCATATAACTTATAGTACACAGGCTGTAAGACTATAGGCTACTAATCAATAAAGGATATAGTAATTAAGGATACAAAATCTCAGCATGTAATATCCAAATATAAAATAAATTACTTTTTAAAAACTCTGGGTTGACATGTCAATTACAGAGTTGCTTCTACTATTCACACACTATAATTCATTAAAACTTAAAAACTAGGTAACAATTATGATTAAATATATATGTACATTTAAATACATATATCTATGTACATATGTATATATAAATAAATGTTTTTGTGCTAGGTATGCCAAATCTTTAATAACGAGAGCTACAATGGTCAGAAAATAACCTAAATGTCTAGTAATAAGACAGCTAGCATACTGTAGAACATAAAATGAAATACTGTACATTTTAAAAATAAAATCTCAAAATATAAAAATTGTACAATACAGGGTAAAAATAAATGATTAAAATTAAGTAAAATAGGCTTGCTTTGGACAAATAATTTAAAAAATACAAAAATGAAAATAACCTTCATGTTACAATAGCAGTTATGAACAAGTTCCTCAACTCCATATTTTTCCTTCACACATGGTTATATTTACAGACTATTCAATAAAATAAAACCACACAAGTCTAATGTAGGTGCTGGTACACCTTAATAACTCATTAAGAAAAATTTGAAATAAATATTTTTAAAGGTCCATTTCAAGAATCTAAATTCTTAAAAATCAATTATTTTGCTGAAATAAATTAATGACACAAAATGTTTCCAAGGAACATAAATTTACATGAAAACTGAGTCAGGCACTTTAATACCAAATACACCAATATCATTTATTATAGAGCATACCACTTCTAAGTTTTAAAAACCGTAATTTTAAGATAGGATAAAATGTATTTTAGCATACGTTTTTAAAAGGGAATTAAAAATACTACTATAAGTAATATGGAATGAGAAAACAGAAATAAAATGTGTTCCTAAAAAGATATATATAATAATTTAAATGTCATGAATGAAAACATACTATTTAAAATAATAAAGTGCTATGGTAAATATTTTAGTTATGCAAAGAACAACTTTTTCAATTTATAATTCTTAAAAAGTCTGTATGTTTGAAGCTAAAACAACTATATTTGAATAAAATTTCTTCAAATCCTCAAAAAATTCAGAATTAATCAATTATATCAACTTATTTTAGCAGCAAATTATTTCTATCTACAAAGCTATCATATAAACATGAAGCTTACATGAAATTAAACTATATGCATATTTTAAAAAATGGATAAAGTAATTCAAGTAGTGTTCTTAATTCCTTCGATTATTTCATTCAGTAAACAAGTGCCCTGATATAAATTTTGAGGTGCTAATTCCATTAGCTATTCTCTTAGATTGATCTCTGTTCCTAAGAGCTTCTAATAGTGAGATCACCTGAAGATGCTAAGTGTGTCTAGAGTTCAAACATACACATTTTTCATGTTCCATACAAAACAACTATTTCATGTACAGCCCAAGTGAAAAAACAAGAAATGCAAGTTAGTGATACAGTGATCCTATACATTATTATTTTCCTACATTTGACCTTAAAAAACAAAACCACAACCCTAATTCCTGTGCTAAGATACAATTCCACTCATTTACTATGGCATGTTATCTGACATCAGTAGACAATACATTAATAACTGTATGTATTTGATGGTTAAAATTTTATTAAAACTCTAAAATGCTTCAATAAGTTCTGTCAACTATAGTCCTAGCCCAAACAGAAATCAATTACTGAGATACTAATCAAATCACAAAAATTTTTGCAAGCTTTTCATATCCTGATTTTTAGTAAAGTCATCATTTTACATAATAGACTGCTTAACCATCCTCTCTGAGGTAGTAAAGTCACGTCTAGAGAATAGTCTTATTTAATGTACTTGGTGTATGATACCTTGGAAACATGATAAAAGCTATGGGACCTCATTCCTGAAAAATGAACAGACCCACTGTAGAGCACTATGTTTCAAACTGTGGGACACTATCATTAATTCATACATTAAAGAGAATAAAAAACATCAGTGTATCACACACATTAGAGGTAAATTAATTTCCTTTAAGGAAGACATAGTTGATAGCATTACACATATACTAAAAACAAAACAAAAAACCAAATGCACACACTATAATAAAAATAGAATACCTAGAATAAACAAACATTAAAAAACAAACTACATAAAACAGATTATTCCTGACTGGTCTCCACTAGCATTTGTGAGATTTTTTTTTTTTTTTTTTACTGAACTTTAACTGGCTATTACAACTTTAAAGACTAGAACATTAATTTGTAGTAGAAGACTAGGAGTTTCTGGGGTTTGTGTATATGAAACTCTAGATTTTGTCCCATTACTTTGTTTTAACTCATGTACTTTAATTCAGTTTTAATTTGAATTCACATTAGATGAGATTACTGATCAAAGGGGAACTTAAAAAATAGTTCAATTGAGATATAATTCATATAACATTCCCTTTCTACCTTTATCTCCCAAAGGGCACAAAGACCATCACTCTAGTGCTATTATTAGCTTTATTATTATAAAGCTAGCTTTATTATTATTATAGCTCATTAAAAAGCTAAGTATGTCAACTTAGTATGTCAAACTGCAGCTTAGTGTGTCAAAGTATATAAAAAATAAAAATATTTTTAAGAGCTCAGCAACAGCTTTCTGACTTACCAAAATAAGCTGGCAGAAATACCAAAAGTATGTTCAGCATTCACATCTTTCTGAATTCACATATTTTCTTCTATGCCTTATTGATCTTTTTTGTCCAAAGAAAATATATTAGGATCTATTCATAGTTTAGTAAGTTTGCAAGGTACATACTATAGCATGTCATGGGTTTTATGGAGCAGACTATATCCATGCTTATGGAGCAGACTTTGGGGTTGGAAAGAAAATAATACAATTGATTTCATACGAAGTATGAAAGTATTTAAGTATTGGAACAGAAACCTCAGATTTCCATAAGAAGTTCTAGAAATATGGAAGTAATTCAAGAAAAAAAATTATTAAAACTGAAGAAAAATAGAGAGAGGCTGGACCAGTGCCATCTTTCCCACTGAAAACAATGAAGGAGAATGAAGAATAAGAAAGTAACCTTTAATTTCAATGTCAACAACTATTTTGGAGGAGAAAACTTTAATTTCTGCTTCTGGCCACTTGATCTCCATTTGCCCATCTGTAAATGGAGAAGACTGAACTAATTCACCTTACAGATCTACGACTGCATAACTACTGGTAATCCTGAATACAGTAAATTTCCTATGAAATTAAAATAAATCCAAGATTCTATCAGTAAAAAATATTTTAAAAGTTCACTCTCTGTAGAGGTGAAGGGAGGAGACTGCACAAGGAAATGTTTCTTTGGAGCGACAGAAATGTTCTAAATCTCGACTGTTGTGTTGATTACATGATTATATACATTTATCAAAGCTCACTAAACTATACTTATAATAAAATGACTAAATGTTACTGTAAGTAAATTATATTTCAGTAAATCTGACTTTTTTTAAAAAGTGTGCCCTAAAATCTTAATCCTGTTTATTAAAAAATCCAATTTACTTTGAATTCCTTGATTCTTTCAAAACATTTAGAAACATACCTGTATGGTGCATAGAACTTAAATATTCATTCTGTAGGCCATTCTCACTTTTAGTCCTATCAACAACTTTCTGGCATGCAGATTCTCCTTTATTTGATTCTTCATTTTCACTTGCAGTATGATCTATTTTTTTCAGATTACATTTCACACTGCATATGTTTCTCCGATAACGAGGGTCACTTTCTTCCTGTTCAGCACTTGAATCAATTACAGCTACGCAATGCTTTTTGTTTAGCATCTTCTTAATTACAGGCTTGGCAGAAGAGTTTTGTGAACAACTGTCCATTTCACTGGCTGAAGGAGAAGAAATACAACTGTCCTCTACAGTTGAACATTTTTGCATGGCTGTATTTTCATGGTAATGAGGATTAGGTTCATACTTTGGTTTTTCCAAACCAGGGAAACAAACAACAGCCAAAAACCAGTGTGCACTGTAAAAAACAAATGAAACTACTGAATATATTATTAGAAAAAATTTATTATATTTGGCAATAAATATCAATTGAAATGTTTTTTCTAAAGCTTTTGTGAAGAAATTTATTAAGGATGCCCAATTTCTTCAATTCTCAAATTAATCCACTGTTGGTATGATCATTGATTCATTAACAGAATACAATGTCCAGTCAAAAAAATAAAACCTAAGTTTTGTTAGAATTTTGTAGCCTGTATTCATTTTTTCAAACAATACTTTAAACGTTTTCTTATTTGTGGAATGAAAAAATTTTTTTCAGGTAATTTAACAAAAGGTAAATTAATATCACTGAAATTCAAAATCCCCATTGACCTTCCCTTTGCCTTATTTACCATATTTTTGGGACTATAAGAAGCACTCCCCAAATTTGGGGGGGAATGGGGTGCATCTTCTAGTCCGAATGTAGCTTTATAATGTTATTTATGTTATTAAATATTTTACCACATTTTTTGCTTCAAAATTTTTTTTTCCTATTTTCTTCCTCTAAAACCTGGATGCATCTTATGGTCTGAAAATACAGTATGTCAAAAGATAGAAACTATCTAGTTTTAAGATTAAAATGTCTTCAGAAATATAATTAGACTATTACTTTTGAACATTTTCTTAATATTGTATACATATAACTTTTTAAAAGCTTTAATCATGTCTGTTTTTATCTAACTAATAAGGTAGGAATGGCTTAATGTTAAGAGTATCAAATAATCCTGTCTCATGCTATACTGAAATGTAAGTATACAATAATGATATACTATATCTAATCTAATCATTGTAACAGAACTTAAAGTATTAGTAGAGTTCCAGCTATCAAGTGAATGCTAATGATATAGCTGAATTCAGGTATCATAGCTCCCACCAGTAGGATATAAGCAATGAGTAAGAAGCTATGCAGCTAATAATGTGTAGCAGTCATTAATCTAAAGAAGAATTTTATTACTAACTGCTAGGCAGTGTTATGTGCTGTGATAAAATGAACAGGCTATAGATGTCAGAGACCTTATTAGATGAGCACATCTAACTAGATGACATCTTATTAGATGACAATATTTGTTATCTAGTAAGATGTTTGGTAGCTATTTTCTGAATGCAAAAAATTAATATATTGACATGGATAAAAGTTATGCTACATTCTGATTTCTGCAAAATGTTAAATTATCCCAACGTAATCTTGAGAAACAACACTGTCTCTTCATTGGACAGCATAAGCAGAAAGATCAGAGAGGCTGGCTTCATCCTCAGTATTTAAAGGACAGATGGAGGAATGTTTCAAATTATTAACCCTCTGTATCCTATGGACACAGGTCAGGCTAGGGTAGTACAAATAAGCAGCACACCAACTTCCTCACTTCCACTCTTAAGACACAGCTGATTCTAGGTCACATCTCAATTTCAGAAGTGTATGTGTTTTAAATTTGATTAGAATATAATACGTTGATTCTCAACCTACAGTTGTAACCAAAGGCTATCACAGTGTGTAACATTTCTTAGTTATGACAATATGGATATAAACCATAAATTTTCTAACGTCTCACTTAAAAACCAGGTGAAAGGAGAAAGCTCAATGAGATACACTGAGATCACTTTCAACCTCTAAGAGCCAGGGTTTTTTGCTTTTACGATCCTTTTAATAGCAACTACACTGAGCTTAAATCACCAGTGGGAGATAAGGCCAAAGAGGTAATTTTCACTTAATCTGGAGATGGATTAGGTCCCAGTATCAAATTTCTGCCCCTTGTCAGTTACTGTGACAATTTTTAACAAGTAGCCTTTAACTTAAAAACAATTACCACTAAGAAGTTGAAAATAACACAGATGATAAATATATGGTAGTCTATGTAATATAATCAGTATAATACAAATACTTGTGGCTTTACCTCTTCAAAAAAACAAAAACAAAATGAACTCTTATGATTTGGAGGCTATTCTTCCATCCACAAATAGCATAGTACTATTTCAGAATGCTTTTGACTCCACATCTTTATTCCTTCTCTACTTTTCACCAAGATTACTAAAAGTATGATCATAGTTTCCATCCATATCAGATGAATTGACTAAGAGGGATATACCTCTGCTGTTAAACTGTGTCTCTCTCAAATTATATTTCTATTTAAATTTTTAATATTCACTTCCAAAAAACAGCTTCCCATGTGTATTTGCCATTTCACATAGTAGGCAAACCTTATTTTGAGAAGAATGAAGAAACTAAAGATTAGTTTTAATATAGCTTTGAAAAAGTTGGGCTTTCTCTCCATAACCAATGTTTTAACCTAGCCTACTTATCTTGGGCTGAGCTAATTAAAGAGCATAGATCTTATAATTAAAGTAGAATTTTAAATAAATACAGCTCAATTATACTATACAGTGAATTTGTTTTTCATAGTGAGAAAAAAATATTCAGAAGCTAGCAGCTAGTCTGGCACAGCTGGGCTTATTAGACATAAACAATCTCACTGAATGCCAACTTCAGACAACATTACTCTGCAACCATAATAAAATAAGACAAAGCAAGGCCATTTCAAAATTTGTCTAAGCAGAGACAGACAAAGTCACAACACAACTTAAAAAATATCAAAATACCCTTTTCTGATAAATGAGTGGTTGCTACTTCTTTATCCAAGCAAACTACTACTTCCTTAAATCTTCCCCCATATCACCAAACCAAAGCCAAAATTCTGTTACAGGCTCTTTCAAACACACTCGCACTGAGCAGCATCATGGATGCCCACAGTATGTGTTTTCCTTTGATATCAGTAATGAGCGCAAAGTTATCCAACTACAGGTATATTTCTGGGGGTCTCTGGCTGAAGGGCATAGAAAAACAACAACAACAAAAAATATGAACACACTCAAGTCTAAACTGTATAATAATACTATGTTACACATCAACACCTTTCTCTCTAGCCATTGGGGTGAAAAATAACACAATTTTTTAAACCACCCCCTTTTAGTTAGAAAATAGTTTTTTGAGTAGTCAGCAAGATTTTCAACTTGAGACAATAACATCAATCTAGCCATCTTTTCTTTTTCTTGGTTAATAACTTAAGCGTCTTAAGCTAAAAATTCAGATTCTTCTATGGGACCTAATTATCTTTCTGTACAAAGCAGCTTTTTCTATAGAACGTTTGCTAGACCACAAGCACCACTTTGTAAAAATTACATTATTCCACACAGACCAAGAAAACAAAATTAGAAAGACCTCCTGTCTATTGTTTGTAAAATTTAATACCTTACATGATTTACTGGAAAACTGCATGCATTTTCATAAAATAAGCAGTATAAGTATAGATGTAATAGCAAGTTTCAAGAAGTTTAAAAATGAATGGATTCTTCACATCCTAAAAACATTTTCTAAAAATTGCCACCACATTTACAGAAAGGGAATTTTTACTCACGCTTCATTAAGTGGTACAAAAATAAAATCCTTCTCAAAGATATCTACGTGCCGGGTCCATGTTTTTACTCTCCCATGCCGCTTTTGCTGTATTCTGTAAGACAAGAGATACACTTCTGAAATGTTCCTAGTGCTTCAGCATATATGCAACAATTTAAAAATTATGAATATTAAGATATTTACAAACCAAACAGTTGTACAACATGATTTAACAAGTTAAGGAAAGAAAACAGACATCTGAGATAGAGCTAGCAAGGCATGAAACTGCCCACCACTGAATATGGAAAAATAACACTTAATTCCTGTTACTGCATACCAGGATAAACCAGGCTAGTATTGTTCATTACTGCAAAACTGGCATGAGCAACCATATTGAGAAGCAAATCAGACTACGACCTATGGTGAGAAGAAGAGAACAGAAAACTATTGTCTTATAGTAGATGAAGAAGGACAGCTCTGACCATTGGTCAAAACCAATCAATGTCACAGAGGCTGGTGTGGTTCAGCTGGTTGAAGCATCATGCCCTGAAACAAAAGGTGGTGGGTTTAACTCCCAGTCAGGGCACATGCCTAGGTTGTGGGTTTGGTCCCTGGCTGAGTCACGTATGAGAGGCAACAAATCGATATTTCTATTTCTCTCCCTCTCTCCCTCTCAAATCAATAGCCATGTCAATGTCATCAACTCTAAGATGCAAAATTAGGAATCATTGAACTAGTGGATAATACTATTTATATTATGCACAGCAGCCATCAATTCAAGATACTTAACAGCACTCATGATAAAAACGTACCACCCCTGTGTGTATCTTCTGACCAATTACCAGCAAGTATTAGAACTGGGTGTGATGAGTATATGGAGAGGAATTATAAACAAAAGTACTCATGTCTAATATGTAGAATAGTATTTCCTTAACTTATCTGAGAAGAATCATCCAAGGAACTATTAACAGTATAGATTCACAGGTTCCTCTCTTAGATAGTATGGGTGGAATGTCTAGATAAAACAGAGCAATCTATATTTAATAAGTAACCAAGTTATTATTTTTAAACTACCAGGCTTATTGGGGAAATACTGAGCTAAACATTATACCTAAAACTTCTATTAATTCCAGGTATTCTTAAGGCTTTAGAATATTATGGATATTGAAAATTTTTTAAAAGATTATGGATATTGATCCACATTTATATTGGATTCAACCCAATGTTATGATTTTCCTAACAGATAACAAATTGTGTTGCCTCAATACATATGTTTTTGTAATACATTAAATTTGAGTGATTTATTATACACATCTGTTAAATATTTTCCAAGAGCGTGACTTACGATAAATTAGTTGTTTCATGAAGATTTCTCCTCTCTCTCTGATTAAGGCGTTTATAGAAAAAAGAACTGAATATATGAATTCGGTCAGCATCTTCTTTCTTCAGTTTTTCAAGCACCAAATATCTATTTTATTAAAAAAATAATTCCAATATAATGAATTTAGCAGTTTACGTCACACTAAGAATAGTCAGGCAGTGATTAAATTATTTAGTCACTATCAATCACTATTCCTCACAACTGAAAGAAGCAAAGTTTACTTCATATTCTAGACAATAACTTCAGAATAATTCTCAAGTAATGAAAAGTGTATTTGTGAATAAAACTGTGATTTGAAAGATCTAATATTTTAAAACAAGGGCATTTTCACAAACATTCATACCAACATTATTTATAAGAGCCACGAAGTGGAAATGCCAGGAATGTTCATCAATTAATGAATGGAAAAATAAAATGTGATATACTGACACATTTTATACTGAATAAAATATATTCATCAACAAAAAGAAGTACTGATACATGCTATAATAGAAGAACCTTGAAAACATTTTGCTAAGTGAAAAGCTAGTCACAAGGAGCACAAATTATATAATTCCAAGTATATGAAATATTCAAAATATGCAAATCCACAGAGACAGAAAAAAAGACTGGTGATTGCCTACAGCTTGTACTGAGGTTAGAGGAAAATGAAGGGTCACTTCTAAATGGGTACTAGGGTTCTTTGAGGGGATTAAATATTGTAATATTGACTATGGTGATGACTGCACAACCATCTGGATATACTAAAACCACAGACTGGATATACTGAAACCACAGAACTGTACAATTAAAATGAGTGAATTGTATGGCATGTGAATTGTATCCCAATAGAGCTATTGTTTTTATATGCTATTTACTTTATATTTCATTTATTTTTCAATTACAGTTGACATACAATATTATATTAGTTTCAGGTGCACAACATACTGTGTTCTGCTTATCTTAAAAAGTTCAGTTAATAAACCATGAAGACCCAGCCACTTTTTAGAAAAAAACAGAAAAGAATAGAAAGAACCTATACAGTAGGGAGGTTGTAACAATGGTCTCATTAAAGTGATCTTATATTTGTTCTAACTTTTGCTTGCCTTAGATACTTTTTCTTTAACTTGACATCAAAACCAATATCAATAGTTCTTTTATATCATAAAGGAAAATTATGATATATTAAATCTGTTTATGCTTCAAACTCCCTTAAAGGAGCTATGCAAATTAAAGCTCATGACTATATTTATTTTATTAAAATGAGAATAATCTGAAAACCTTATGAAATCTTACACAAAACCAGCCAATATCACAGAGGGAAAACTTTGACACATATCATTTTTAACACAGTATTTGATAATTCCAAAGCTCAAGTTCTGATAAAAAAGACCAAACTACAGAATTTCTTGCTTTAGGGCAACTCAGTGTGCCCCCACAAATGAAATTATGAGACAGTGAATCAGCTCATGGCATAGTTTAAAATCAATCACCTCTGCAATAATATTTTCAAAACCAGAGTATGCAGTATACGACATTTGAGTCCAGGGGCTATAACATAATTGGTGAACCATGAAGCTTTCACCAGCCCAAACTACAATGGATACTTTGTACAAGTGAATCAAATACACAAAGGAATAATTCAACTTCAAAAAGGAAAGTTATTTGTGATTTAAGAAAACTGACTCTCAACTTCATACATAAACAAAACCATGCCTTCTAAAGTAACTAGTTTGTCTTTCTGATCTGATATACATCCACAAGTATTTCTGTGACTATATAGTTGTCATTTCAATGTACTTATGTTAGAACTATTAATTTCAATTAGAAAGGCCACACCTCTTATTTTAGAGATAAAGTGAAAATTCAAGTTTCTTACAAAAATCTTGTGGAAAATTCTTCCATTTGGGTGCATTTTTTGTATAAATCATTTATATTGAATGTCATGGTGAAGCTGTTCACTTCGTATTTCATAAAGTGGACAATCTAACAGTCAAATCATGACTTCTTTAATTATAGGATGAAGTTTAATGGTGTTAAGGTTACTCTGAAACTCTAGTGACCTTGAATGTCATTTTTATTAAAGTAATTCTTTTCTTCTTTGCATTTTATTAACATTCTCTAGGTGCCCTTCTACTTCTTATAATATTGCTAAATTTTGTTTAAAAGTTTGTTTCTAACTTGTTGAGTGAGAAATAGAAAAGAATGAGTAGCTTTGGTAGCAGCCAAATAACTGATTTTTAAAAAGATTTTATTGTATTTATTTTTAGAGAGGGAGAAAAAGAGAGATAGATCAATGGTGGTTGCGTTTCACATGCCCCCCAGTGGGGCCCTGCCTACAACCCAGGCATGTGCCCTGAGTGGGAATTGAACCAGCAGCCCTTTATTTCACAGGCTGGTGCTCAACCTACTGAGCCACACTGGCTAGGGCCAAATAACTGATTTTAGTAGTGAAGTTTAAAAGATTTTTCTTTTAAAATTCACTTCTAAGAATATCACAAGACAAATATAAACACAGATTTTTTTTTAAATCATAGATTTTGTTAGGTTTTTCTTTTTTATTTGGGATACTGACTTGCATCAGAAAAAATAGAACTTGCAGTTAATTAAGTTTATTGTATAAAATTTGTTTTAAAGTGTAACCATAAAATGTTAAGGGATCTCCCTTATGAAAATATAAAGAATTTCAAAAGTATAAACAAATAACTATAAAATGCCTACTGTGATGTAAAAATTATATACTATTTCAGTGTGCAATGGAATATAAACTAAAATATAAACAAAGTATGAGTTCAACTTAATTTCTAGATCTACCTATATAATTTCAAAAGACAAAGAATTTTATTTTTTTAAATGTTTTATTGATTATGCCATTAGTTGTCCCATTTCCCCCTTCATTCCCCTCCACCCAGCACACCCTCTCCCCGCCATTCCCCCGTTTTATTTCATGTCCATGTGTCACAAGTTCTTTAAATTCTATATTTCCCACACTATTCTTGTCCTCCCCCTATCTATTTTCTACCTACCGTCTATGCTACTTAGTCTGTGTACCGTCTCCCCCCTTCTCCTCCTCCCACTACCCTGTTGCTAACCCTCCATGGGATCTTCATTTCTATGGTTCTGCTCCTGATCAAGCTGTCCTCTTAGTTTGCTTGTTTTAGGTGTGGTTGTTAATAACTGTGAGTTTACTGTCCTTTCACTGTTCATATTTTTATCTTCTTTTTCTTAGATAAGTCCCTTTAACATTTCATATAATAAGGGCTTAGTGATGATGAACTCCTTGAACTTGATCTTATCTGAGAAGCACTTTATCTGCCCCTCCATTCTAAATGAAAGCTTTTCTGGATAGAGCAATCTTGGATGTAGGTCTTTGGATTTCATGACTTGGAATACTTCTTTCCAGCCCCTTCTTGCCTGTAAGGTCTCTTTTGAGAAATCCACTGACAGTTTGATGGGAACTCCTTTGTAGGTAACTATCCCCTTATCTCTTGCTGCTTCTAGGATTCTCTCCTTCATTTTAATCTTGGCTAATATAATGATGATGTGCCTTGGTGTGTTCCTCCTTGGGTCCAACTTCTTTGGGACTCTGAGCTTCTTGGACTTCCTGGAAGTCTACTGCCTTTGCCAAATTGGGGAAGTTCTCCTTTACTATTTGTTCAAGTAAGTTTTCTACTTGTCGCTCTTCCTCTTCCCCCTCTGGCACCCCTATAATTCGGATGTTGGAACTTGTACAGATGTCCTGGAGGTTCCTAAGCCTGTCCTCATTTTTTTGAATTCTTGTTTCTTCATTCTTTTCTGTTTGGTCATTTTTTTCTTCCTTCTGGTCCACTCCATTGATTTGAGTCCCAGTTTCCTTCCAATCACTACTGGTTGCCTGTGCATTTTGCTTCATTTCACTTAGTGAAGCCTTCATTTTTTCATCTAATTTGTGACTAAAATCAACCAGTTCTGTGAGCATCCTGATCATCCTGCACAGTGTTTTGAACTGTGCATCCGATAGGTTAGCTATCTCTTGATCACTCAGAAGTATTGGCTCTGGGGCTTTGAGCTGTTCTTGAGCCATAATGTTTTGATCTGTTCCCACCTGTTATGTATGAGGGGCGGAGCCTTAGGTGTTCAGCAGGGCAGGACAACCCAGGTTGCTGGGTTGTGACACTGCATGTGGGGGCAGGATCAGAGAGGGGCAATGGCATTTTTTTCTGCTCTCTCTCGGATTTTGGTCCCCTCTGCTGCTTCCCACAAGCAAATTGGGCCTTTCTGGTGCTAGCTCCCAGATGTGTGGGCTTGTGCACCCTCCAGAACCCTGTGGGTCTCTCTAACAAACTCTCTGTGAGCCTGGCAGCCTCTCCTGGCACCTCGACCCCCAAAAGTTTTTCCAATTGGTGCTTTTAGGCTTTATTTCCCATCACTGCAGCCCTGGGTTGCACGGTCTATCTCACTGCTCACTCCTTTGCCTGGTTTATCTGCACATGGATGTGTGACCACAGTCAGCCAGCTGCCTTGCACCCTCACTGGGTCTGCCCATTGCCACCCCATGCCTGGGATCTGCCAACTGCCGCCTGCACACCTGGGTCGCTCCAGTCGCTTTTTCCTGTTGAGAACCCTCTCTGCCAGTTGCTGACTCCGCCCCTCTTACCGGTCTGGATGAATGGTTCATTATTGTCTGACTTCGGTATAGTTCAATTTTCTCTCTGTTTTGGTTGCGTTCTGGTTTTTAAGTATCTGTTGTTCATAAACTTGGTTGTGCAAGGATGTACAGTGTTTCCACCTACACCTCCATCTTGGCCAGGAGTCAAGACAAAGTATTTTAAATAAAAAGACTTAAATAGGTTAAAAGCAAAGAGGTAAAGAAATACATACCATACAAACAGAAACCGAAGGAAAGTGAGAATAGCTATATTCATTTGGAACAAAATGGGCTTAAGAGCAAGGAAGATTTTCAAGAATAAAGAGGGACATTACATTAATAAAGGGGTCATTTCTCTAAGAATGCGTAAAAGTGTATGTGCCTAATGACAGTCTCAAAATACATAGGGTAAAAACTCACAGACCTAAAATGAGAAATAGACAAATTCATACTTAGAGTTGGAGATCATCAACCTTCTCAATAATTGATAGAATAAGTATGTAGAAATCAGTTAAAGACAAAGATGAGTTGAATACACTGTCTAACAACTTGACCTAATTAACATTCACAGAATACTTCATCCAACAACAGCAGTGTTCTTCTATGTATTCACTTGAAACTTTTCAATAACTTGGTTCATTAAGTATATAGTAGGATTAAGAGATAACATTTTTAATTATGAAAAAAATACATAAAATTTGCAAACTTAACCATTTTTAATTGTACAGTTCAGTAGTTTCTTAAGTATATTCCCAATCTCCAGACCTTTTTTAACTTGCAAACCTGAAACCCTACATCCATTAAATAATAATTCCCTGACTCTGGTAACCACTATTTACTTGCATTTTCTATGAATTTGACTCCTTCAGTTACCTAAGTATAAGTATACAGTATTATACATTACTTGTATTTTTGTACTGGTTTACTTCATTTTACACAATATTTTCCAGATTCAGTCATGTTGTGGCATGTGATAGGTTTCCTTCTTTTTAAAGGAAGAATAATATTGCACTGTATATTATATGACACATTTTATTTACCTACCCACCTATCAATGGACAGTTTGGGTTGCTTCTATATTGACTATTATGAATAAGTGCTATTATGAACATGGGTGTGCAAATATCTCTTTGAAACCCTACTTTCAATTCTTTTAGACATATACCCAGACATGGGGTTGTTACATGATATGGTGCTAGTTTATTTCTAATTTTTGAGAAACCACCATACCGTTTTCAGTATTGGCTGTACCATTTTATACTCCTACCAGCAGTACAAAGGGTGACATTTGTCCACATTCATTTGGTTTTGATTTCTATTTCTCTGATGATTAATAACATTGAGGATCTTTTCATATCCTTGTTGGTGGTTTGTATGAAATAACATCTTTTGATTTAGTTATTAAGAACGTTGAATTTGTCACTAAATGTCAGGTCTCAAAGAGATCTACATCTGCAAAATTAGGCATTTAAAATCTAAAGCACTTTCTCTTGCCCAGCAATTCTATGACACATTTGCAATATACTGAAACATAATCCATTACCATCAACTCTTCAAAATGAAAAATAGTGTCTTTGAAAGGGGGTATAGTTAACATAAAGAGGAATACAGTATCACCCCTTGATGTTAGGTAAATCCTGTTGGTTGATGGTGTTCACATTCTTTTACGCATCACTGTTGATTTTTTTTTAGTTGTTCTATCAATTGTTGAGAGAGAGGAATTAAAGTCTCCTGCTATATTTGTGAATTTTTGTTTCTTATTTTCCTACCTTTTAGATCTATCCGTTTTTGCTTCACATATTTTGTAGCTCTGTTGTACGCCACATACCCAATAAGAGCTTCTAAGTCTTCTGGGTGGATTCACTCATATATTACTATATAATGTCCCTCTTTATCCCTGGTAATTAATTGTCTTTGCTCTGAAGTTTATTTTATCTGATATTAATACAGTAACTCCTGCTTTCTTTTAATACTTGCATGCTGTATCTTTTTCCATCCTTTCAACTTAGTTGTATCATTATCTACTAAGTGTGGTTTTTGGTAGATAGGACAAAGTTGGGCTGTGTTGCTTAATCCACTCTGCCAACAAGTTTCATGAGTTCATAATTGTTTGTTAAATAATTTTTATGATGGATGGTTTCTAATCATTGTCAGGTAATTCTAATACCTATGCTATCTCAGTGTGGACTATCTATTAGTTGTCTTTTCTCATTCAGTTTGAAATCTCTGTGGTTCTTGGTAAGAAAAATAATTTTAAATTAAAATCTGAACATTTTGAGTATTATAAGACGCTGAATCTCATTTAATTTTTGTGTTTAACCAGGCTTTCCCTGGCACACACTCCATTATTTGAAGTGGGCACCACTTCATTACTGCCAGGTTGGGGGTGGAGGTTCAGGTTCTGTACTAGGCTACCATTAACCTGGAAGGGCTCCATGTTAATGATAGATAGGTGTGGAAGACTTCCCACTAGGCCTATACTAGTACCCTCCACCAGGTATAGATGGGGAAGAATATCTCATTACCCCCATGGACCAGGGTGAAGTCTGGCTCTACACTGGATTCCATTTAAGCTTAGGGTCACTGTAACCACAGTTACTTAGCATTTATTGCCTTGACCTCTGCTGTACTGATACCACTAAATGTATTCTCCTTTAAAGCTTTTACCTCCCTTCAATTTTATCATCAGTCTCTCTGGATTTTTTCTTCTTACTTCTCAAATACCTTCAGAATTTATTCATGGGAGCCGCTTTCCTCCCTGTTTATCTAAATCTACTCTCCAGGCTCTGTCTTTATAGCTCTTTCTCTCATTTTATATCTCTACCTAGACAATTTAATTGATTCTCAAAATTAAACTACTACTTGCAAAGTAAAGCTTCCTAACTATATGTCTCCAAGCCAGAACTAAACTGCCATCCAGAACCACATAGTCAACTGTTTATTGACACTGTCCCTGTTATTGGTATCAGACACCTAGAAAGAGTATCTCCCTCTCCCCTACAAAAACCTACTCCACTTCTGCATTCATTGCTTCAGTTTGTGGCAAAATCATTTAGCAGGTCTCCTTAGTTAGAAAACTAGAGTTATTTGGCACCCATTTCTATCCTTCTTAACATTCATTCATTCAGGCCTGGAGTCCTGCTAAACAGCTCTACCTCTTAAAATACTTCATTATTTCCTTTTCATTCAAACTAAAATGATTAATTAGGCTTATATCACTTTAATTAAATTCTTTAAATCATTTCCCATCTAGATGTCCACAATAAAAATGCTTGTCAAAATGATCTTAAGGAAACCCAATTATGATATCACTTCTTTGATCAAAACTATCACTCTTTATAACAAATGTTTTCTTTCCTAGAATAGACTGCAACCCCTAATATGCTGTAAAATAATTCAGCAGCTTTCAACAATCAAAAAATTTTTTTTAATTATTTTGTTCTATGAAATAAATTTGAATAAACAAAGCATTGGAAAGCACCAGGCATGTTTTGTTATATATGTACATCATTTTATATCACAAACCAGTAAACACATACAAATTTATACATGTATAAACACACTGCACATACATGTATATGCATGTGTATACAGGGTCATGATGTAAGCTCTTCCAGGAAAGCTTCTTGGTCTCTTATATTTCCCAACCTCAAAAAAAAAAATGAAGAATTCTTTTTCTACTGTGTCTTCTATCAATGCTTTAATCCCATATTTGTGTTCCCTACAATACTATAAACTTCTAACACAGTACTTGGTACACAGCTCGTACTTGGTGAATGTTTATTGAAGTAAGTAAAATCATAATTTTGTGCTTGCTCAAGAAACGTCTGCCTAACCTAGGGTGGTAATAATTATCAACGGCTTAAAATACTGCAAAAATAACAATAAAATAAGCTATCATTTAAGAACACTTCGTATGTGCCAGAGATTTCTCCTAATGCTTAACATGTATTATCTTATTTAAGCCTTATAAACCCTTTCAGATATCATTAGTCTCCTCATTTTTTAAATGAAGAAGCACAGGTAGAGACATTAAATAACTTTCCACACTAAGTGGCAGTGATGAAATTCAAATCCCAAACTGTTTTGACTCTAGAAAACAAAGATATATATTATAGGATGTTAAAGATTCGCTAAAAGGTTAGTAGAAAATTAACTTACTTCAAATAAAAGTCTATAATAACATCATTTAAAAATTCTCCTTCACTTAGACAGTGCAGGTCCTCATTAGTAACGGAGATACCTCCCTTAGCTGGAGGTGGCGGATATACTATCAATCTGTAACAAAAATGTTTTTAAAAAGCATATTATCAAATATATATGTATATATAATTACAATGTAATAAAGCAGAAAAATTTAACGGTGTTGCAAATGTAAAGGAATTCTCTCACTTTTCTACTGGGCCCATGAAGATGGTGTGACTTTCTCCAGTTTCTTCTTCATCGTCAAAAAACTGGAATTCTTGTTTGCTTTTAAGTTGTGTTTTAGATTCCATGGGCACCTGGAAAAGAAAATTAAATAACTAATTCACAAAGTCAGTTGGAAAGGTTTTCTACAAAAATAGCAAGCACGAAGCAAGAATGCTTTTTTTAAACAATTATTTTTTTCTTGTCATTCAAGTACAGTTATCCGTATTTTCCCCCCACTATTGCCTGTGCCCTGTCCACCCCCCACATCCCATATTCAATCCTTTCCCCACTCCGTGGTCTTTGTCCATGTTCCTTGACTTGACTCTTCCCTTTCTTTCCTTCATTATCTCCCTCCCCAATCCTCTCTGATCACTGTCAGTTTGTTCTTTATTTCCATGTCTCAAGTATATTTTCCTCACTTGTTTTGTTTTGTTGATTAGGTTCCACTTATAGGTGAGATCAAATGTATTTGTCTTTTATCACCTAGCTTATTTCAATTACAATATGATGGAAAAAGTATACTTTATTTTTTAAGTTAAAATAATAAACAGGAAAAATTATGGTCTACTTTTTTTTTAATCTATAACTTCTGGTTCAATAATATTCTTCCAATTTTTGTAACAATTATTTTTGGTACCATCTCTCTCTAAAATCTCTACCAGCCATAATAAACTAGACTACATTAAAAAATCCAAAGAACAGAAACAGTTTTTTTTTCTTCTAGCAGTGGAGGCCAACTTAAGTTCAGTGGCTAGGCAATCCATACTGTATGAGCGCAGAGGCTGAGGGAACCAACCTAAGTTCAATGAGCTTCAGTCCCAAGTGAAGGAAGAGCTCTTTTTCCCTCTGAAAATTATCTCCTACAGAGAATTCTGCAGAAGCAGGAGAATGACTCCCCTTCCTTCTTCTAATCATTTTCTCAACCTACTAACTATATGAATAGCTCTTCTCTGATGAGGCAAGGTTGAAAGACTTTAAGTGTTCCTAATAACTTAAGTCACCAAAATTTAGCTGCTGTGGTAGAGGACAAATTCATAGAGTATTTAAATTATATTTGTATTATTTAACATTATACTACACATTACAATAGTACTGTACCGTTTGGTTCAGGTGGCTTCAGAGTTACCTACTATATTACTTATTCTAAAATTAGCTATGAGTGCTGAGAGTCAGTATGGGAGTATTCTTCACATCCCAAGTTTTCAAACATGTATGCATATGTTACATATAAATACATCAGGGACCAAAAGTCCTTTGTTTGTACTGAAGCCAATGGCATCACTGGGAACTACCAGCAAATTTAAGAGAGAGGGTAATAAAAGACTGGAATGTAGTAGTGAATGTAAATGTAAGCTGAAAGTGAGAGAAAGAGAGATGAAAAGTAAAGACAAAATAGAGTGTGGAAGAAAATAAAAATGTTTCTGAGACCTGTGTCAAGTACTATTTGTGTCTTAAGTCACCTGTTCACTGTTATATTTTGACACAAGACTATTTATAAATTGTATATAAAAGCAAATAATTCTGAAATGGGACTAAAGAGGATCTAACTCTGAAATGAGTAGTATTACAATAAAACATATTTCCCTTTAAAGCTACATGTTATTTAAGACTGCATTTAAAAAAATTAAAAAACATAATTACATTTTTAATTTTGTTTTCTTTTTGCACACAACTTCCTTTGATGCTTTCTTCATAGGTTCTTGTACAGGCAACAAGCCTGCTATTGGCTTCTTCAAAGGGAATTTTTGCAAAAAAATTGGACACATTATTCTTTTTACCAATTGCTGCAATGATACTTTCAAATGCTGAATTTGTTTGATGATCAAGGCCATTTTGAAAAATTAAAATTATATATTGTCCTTCCAAATCTGAAAAGAAATTAATATAAATTTAGAGGAAAAAAATAAGTAAACAGGACACTATTAGAAAAGTAGTCACAACTAGTTATTCCAATAACATCACCAGAAATCCTGGTATCAATGTTCAAAACAATGTTTGGCATACAGTGGATTTACAATAAATATGAAATAAAGACCAGTGGCAGTGTTACCTATCACCTACATTATGAAGAGAAAGGAATCAGAACATATTACTCTAGCAGGAGCTGAAGAGCAAATCCATTCATGGGTATAACTAATTTACTTCATCTAATAGTATCCTAAATATAGTTCTAGTTTTAAACATGTATCAATTAACATTTTTGTCAAACACAAATAAGAAATTTCCAAGTGAACTGATAGTATCTCTAGAGAATTTGACTGTAAACACTGCTATTAAGTAATGTGACAACTCTAGCAGCTTTACTAGGAGCTATCATTTATTCATCATTAAGCTGAAGCAGCAATTATGACTGAAAAGTTATTTATTTTATAACTGGTCATGCTATGCCATAAATAATAGAGGTGAATAGAAACAAACTAGAGAATCATATAATGTATTCTAACAATTGAAGAAAATTCTACAAAGTTGTAAACCTCCTATTCAGGCTAATTTTCAGGGATTCCCAATTTATATGACTGATTTATACTTAGCACCTATCAGTGCATTAAAAATAATCACTTTATCTAACCCCTATGCTGTACACCTGAACCCAATACAAAATAGTACTGAAAGTAAACTTATAAAAAAAATTTAAATCATTTTACTTAGATAATACAAGTGTTAAAAAGTGCAGACTTTTTGAGTTCTAACCATTCTGAAAACTTGCTGAATGGGTAAACCTGTGTTTTATCATCAGACCTTCCACTGGGCTTTCCTCAGCTGTAAAATGGGAAAAGTAATATCTATCTTAGAAAGTCCCCATAAGGATTATAACATAATATAATATACATCTAAGGTATGTAGCAAAGTATACTCACATTTCCCTATTCAATGAATTATATGTATTACAATCCATTCTATATAACTTACTTGTAAACTTATTTATTCCTTTACGATCATTCCAAACTTTATCCTCCATATTCATTTGTAGTTGCATGCTCAGTTTTTGGTAAACTGCTGGTACTGTCTGAAGAAACACTACTGGTAATTTTCGGACATTACAGCATTCACATTTAGTTAGATCAGAGGTATTTAAAGTAAACCCTACAGGATCATTGTCTGGTTCTAGAGGAAAACAAACAGAATTGGAAAACAAATCCATTCTTAAAATTGGAAAATCATAAATAAAGTATAATAAAATACAAGTTCAAATTTAAACACATTTATTATGCTCTGTAAATAGTAACTTATAATGGGAAATGAAGAAAAATCTTTATAACTATCTTAAAGAAGCTTCTACATTTTTCTCAAATGAAAAGAAGTTTCCAATGAAGTATACTTGGAAAATTGAAGATAGGTTTTATGATGTTACAGAATGAAATTACACTATGGAGACATGCCTTTTGCTAAGAAAATATATGTGATAACTAATCATCTTCATGCATTATATGAATGTAATTATCTTTTATTCCTATAAAGTACTTTAGTATAAACAAAGCTTAAGTAAAAAGACATATAATAGCTTACCTTCTAGCTGTATCTTGATAAAATCTAAACACAACTAAAAAAAAATAAGACAAATTAGTGCCAATCTAGATTTATGAAGACTTGTCTACAAACACCCCTAAATGACATACTATTTTGTACTCAGACTACAGAGGGCAGAACTGAATTATCTACCATGCACTTAAATATAAAATATCTTCCTCACTCCTAAATTATCTCAGAAAGGTACAGAATTGGTAGGATTCATCTTTCTTTTTTTAAATCCTCACCTGAAGACATGTGTATTGATTTTAGCAGGGAAGAGAGGGAGTAAAAGAGGGAAAGAAACATCGATAGGTTGACTCTCACATATGCCCTGAAAGGGGACCAAACCTGCAACACAGGCACATGACCTGACCAGAAATCAAACCTGCAACCTTTATGGGACAAGGACCCTCCAACCAACTGAACCATACTGGCCAGAGATAGGCTTCATCTTTTTTATTTAAGTACTGAGAACATTCTCATACTATTGGTTTATTTCTCTTAACTTCAAAAAAAAAGTTGACAGAATATTAAATACCTGAATGCCATTACCTAGATTCACTGTTAATATCTGGCAACACATACTCATTTTATCTATATATATAGTCATTTCCTTTTTGCTGAACCAGCATAAAGGCAGAGGTTCATTACAACATCTAAGAAAATCAAAATTAACTTCATTCAACATACAGTTCAGATTATACTTAAACTGAGTTTATACTCAAATTTCCCCAACTGCTCAAAATTGTCCTTTAACAGCTACCTCAGCTTTTCTCCAGTTGATGATTCTTTCAAGGTAACATTACATCAGCCTCTTTGTCTACTCTTGTCTGGACCAGAAAGAAATCTCCCCTGTTCTTCATGACACAGCCTTCGAAAAATCTAGGCTTGGTTCTGCAAACTGTACAACATCCTGGACAGCATCATACTGGACAGGATATCAGGCAGCCCCACTACTGGTACAAGCTTAATCACTTGAAAACAGTGTGCCAAGTCTTTCCACTGTAAAGATATATTTTTCCCTTTATAACTAAATGATAATCAGTGGAGAGACACTTAAATGCTTGTGAATATCCTGTTTCTTAATAACCTGTCACCCAATGATTTTAACATGTAAGAAACATCTTGCCTCAATCAGTTATTATTGGTTATTTCATAAAAAAGATAATCTGTTGTAATGTGAAGACATATTAAGTCTGATACACCCTGAATGAATAATCATTTTGCATGTTTACATAAGTTAAAAGAATCAAAGAAGGCAAGAAATTCAAAATGCATTAAAAAATAAGCTAAACCAATACACAGAGGGATGAATAGATACATGAAAAATAAAACTGGGGCTTCTGGTCAAGATGGAGGCATAGGTGGACATGCTTCACCTCATCACACAACCGTAAGACAGAACACAACTAACTTAAAAATGAAAACACCCAGAAGTGCCAGAAAAATACCCAGAACTGTATGGAACTCTGACAACCAAGGATTTAAAGAAGCTATATCCAACCAGACAGGTTGGAGGGGTAGAGATGTGGAATTAGGGAAGAGAAGAAGTGGCGTGGTGGCTGCAAGAGCAGAGGCAGCGAAGCAAGGTGGTGGCCGGCTGAACAGATGGGCCCACATTCACATGAGGTGGATAAAAGTCATGGAGACACCTTGTGAGCCACCTCAGGCCAGACCATGCAGCCCAGCATTTCAGCATCAGGAAAAAATAAGGCCTTATAACTTCTGGCTATAAACCCAGTGGAGGTTGGGGCAGCAGATAAAACTGACAGTTTCTTAAGAGAGCCAGAACGTATGCAAACCCACAGACACTGAGAATCACAACCAGGATAACAGCTGGAGGGGTGCCAGTCTCATACAGGAAGTGAGTGAAGTAACTGGAAATGCCAGGCAAGTAACTTGCAAATGCCAGGCAAGCACCCAGAACTCAGTCAACAGCAGCACTGGCTCCTTTCGATTCCCCTCCCCCACCCCCCCCACACACAGAGACATAAAGAAGTCTGCCCCACCCCAGCCAACAGCTAAGGCTCTGCCCCATACAACTTAACAGGTGCTCTAAGACAGGAAATGAGGCTCTACCTAGTACACAGACACAGGGAGGCTACCAAAATCAGCAAAGATATATGGGCCCGAATGAAGGAATAGAACAGAACCCCAGAAAAAGAACTAAACAGTTCAGAGAATGCTAACCTACCAGACAGAGTTCAAAATACAGGTGATCAGAATGCTCAAAGATCTCACTGAATACAGCAAATGCATAAGAGAAGAAATGAAAGCTAAGAGAAATAAAGAAAAGTCCACAGGAAACCAATAGAGAAGGGAAGGAAGCTGGAATTCAAATCAACAATTTAGAACCAAAGAAAGAAATAAACATTCAACCACAACAAAATGAAGCAACAAGAATTTAAAAAAACAAAGAGAGTTTAAGAAAACTGGGACATCTCCAAAAGTGCCATCACAGGGGTAGCAGAAGGAGAAGAAGAAGAGCAAGAAATTGAAAACTTATTTGAAAAAATAATCAAAGAAAACTTTCCTAATTTGGTGAAGGAAACAGACATACAAGTCCAGGAAGCACAGACAGTCCCAAACAAGTAGGATCCAAAAGGCCCACACCAAGACACATCATAATTAAAATGTCAGAGGTTAGGAATAAGAATAGAATCTTAAAAGCAGCAAGAAAAGGGCAAAGAGTTACCTGCAAAGGAGCTCCCCATGAGACTATCAACTGATTTCTCAAAAAAAAAAAAAACTTTGCAGGAAAGAAGGGACTGGCAAGAAGTATACAAAATTATGAAAAGCGAGGACCTACAACCAAGATTACTCTAACCAGCAAAGCTATCATGTAGAATGGAAGGGCAGATAAAGTGCTTCCCAAGCAGGGTAAAGCTAAAGGAGTTCATCATCATGAAGCCCTTATTATACAAAATGTTTAAGAGTCTTATTTAAGAAATAGAAGAAAATCAAAACTATGGACATTAAAATGACAACAAACTCACAACTATCAACAACCAAGTCTTATAAAACAAAAAATAAACTAAGAAAACAACTAGAAGAGGAACAGAATCATAGATCTGGAGATCATCTAGAGGGTTGTCTATCATCTGGGAGGGGGATGGGGTAGAATGGGGGAAAAGGTATAATTATTTAGAAGCATAATTGGGGAGGTACAAAATAGACAAAGGGATTGTAAGAACAGTACAAGCAATGGGGAAGACACAGAACTTACATGCACAATTCATGGACCTGAACTAAGGAGGTGGGGGGGGGGTCACTGGAGGCAAGGGGAATACCAAGCAGAGGGGCAGCAAAGGAGCAAAAATTGGGACAACTGTAACAGCATAATCAATAAATATACTTTAAAAATAGCAAATTTAGTAAAATGCCAATGACAGAATCTAGTTGGGAGTTTTATGAATGTTTACTGTAAAATTCTTCCAACTCTTCTGTTTGAAAATGTTCACAATACAAAAAAGGAAGGAAGAAAACACAAAATAAATTTTTAATTACAACAACTGCAAATTCTAGAATTTCACCAAATACATATTCTACATATCATGTTTAAAAGTAATACATTAATTGGTTTCACTGGAAAGCAACATGTTAATTGGAGATACAGAAACTAAAGTTGTAGATGACTCAAAAGTATGTTAGATGACTCAAAAAATAGAAATGAAATATAAACACTAAAGTGGGAGAATGTGAATACAATTGTTGCATGAGACATTTTCCATTTAAAAGTATATGTAACTAAATTATATAAGTATTAATTATCACATGTAACTCAAATTTCTGGTTAAATAAAAATATTTACTTTTAAATAAAACGGGTACTTCTAGTTGGTGCCAACTGTAACACTGAGTGAATTTAAAATAATTTACCTAATAATAAATGGCTATAAAATCTGATAAAACATTTAAAACAAAAAAATATTTAAAATCTGTTTCTCACATTAATAATGATATGGCAGATAAATTGTTTCACTGAAAAACAAAGCAAATTATGTTCAAAAAAATGTCAAATCACCTTTAATATACACTATCTGAAGAAATTACAGATCCACTATAGCTCATCAAAAATGTTCTCTGGGGACTTCCGCCAAGATGGAGGTATAGGTGGATGTGCCGTGCCTTCTCACACAACCAAGTTTAGGGACAACTAAATATTAGCATCAGAAAACACAAACAGAACACGGAAAATTGAACTTTTCGGAAGTCCATTAACAACAAATTCTTCAGCCCGACCGGTAAGGGGCGAAACTGGCGTCTCGTGAGGGGTTGCACAGGAGGACTGAGTCGACCCGGGCGCGGAATTCAGATGCGCGAATCCAGACACACGGGTTCCAAACACAGGATTGGACCTAGTGAGCGACCGAGCAACCCACCGGGTGAGCGACTGCAGAGGAGACAGTGGGAAGGCGGTGCTGCGTGTTGACTGGGGTCGCCTATTTGCGGGCGAGCAGACAGGCGAGGGAGTGGGCAGTTGGACCGGGGCCCAGCTTCCCCACGGCAAGCGGCGGTAGAGGGCGCCGCCATTTCCCCGCTCTGACCACGCCCCCACATACAGCGTCACAACCCAGCGACCTGGGAGTCCAGGGCGCCACTTCTCACATTTAAAGGGCCAGAACAGACCAAAAATGTCGCAGGAAGACCTCAAAGCCCCACAGATAAATCTAAGCGACGAAGAAATAGCAAAACTCTCAGACGCACAGTTTACAACACTGGTCATCAGGATCCTCACAGATCTGGTTGATTATAGTCACAAATTAGAGAAACAAATGAAGGCTAAACTAATGGAAATGAATGGAATTCCACAGGAAACCCATAGCGTTGAAAAGGAAACTGGGACTCAAATCAATGGAGTGGACCAGAAGAAAGCAAATAATGGCCAAACAGAAAAGAGTCAAGGAGCAAGAATTCAAAGAAATGAGGAGAGACTTAGGAACCTCCAGGACATCTTTAAACGCTCCAATATCCGAATTATAGGGGTACCAAGAAGGGGGAAAGACACAACCACCAGTGGAAAACTTATTTGAACAAATAATAAAAGAAAATTTCCCCAATCTGGCAAAGGAAATAGACTTCCAGGAAATCCAGGAAGCTCAGAGAGTCCCAAAGAAGTTGGGCCCAAGAAGAAACACACCAAGGCACATCATCATTATATTAGCCAAGATTAAAATGAAGGAGAGAATCCTAGAAGCAGCAAGAGCTAAGGGGACAATCACCTACAAAGGCGTCCCCATCAGACTGTCAGCAGATTTCTCAAAAGAAACCTTACAGGCAAGAAGGGGCTGGAAAGAAATATTCCAAGTCATGAAATCTAAAGACCTACAACCAAGATTGCTCTATCCAGGAAAACTTTCATTTAGAATGGAAGGACAGATAAGGTGCTTCTCAGATAAGATCAAATTCAAGGAGTTCATCATCACCAAGCCCTTATTATATGAAATGTTAAAGGGACTTATCTAAGAAAAAGAAGTTAAAGAAACATGAACAGTGAAAGAACAACAAGCTCACAGTTATTAACAACCACACCCAAAACGAAAGCAAACTAAAAGAACAGCTAGATCAGGAGTGGAAACATAGAAATGAAGATCTCAAGGAGGGTTAGCAACAGGGGAGTGGGAGGAGGAGATGGGGGGAGAAGGTACAGAAAATAAGTAGCATAGACAGTAGATAGAAAATAGATGGGGGGGCAAGAATAGCATGGGAAATATAGAACCTAAAGGACTTGAGACACATGGACATAAACTAAAGGGGGGTAATGGTGGGGATGGGGGGGGCAGGGTGGAGGGGAATGAAGGGGGGAATAGAACAACTGTTAACAGCATAATCAATTTAAAAAAATAAATTAAAAAAAATGTACTTGAGACTTCCGCCAAGATGGAGGTTTAAGGTGGATGTGCCTGCCTCCTCACACAACCAAGTTTAGGGACAACTAAATATTAGCATCAGAAAACACAACCAGAACACGGAAAACTGAACTTTTCGGAAGTCCGCTAACAACAAATTCTTCGGCCCGACCGGTAAGGGGCGAAACCGGCGTCGGGTGAGGAGTTACAAAGGAGTCGACCCGGCGCGGAATCCAGATGCGCGAATCCAGTCGCACGGGTTCCAAACCCAGGATTGGACCTAGTGAGCAACCGAGCGGCCCACCGGGTGAGCGACTACGGAGGAGTCAGTGGGGAGGCAGTGGCAGCCAGTTGACTGAGGCTGCATGGTTGCACGCGGGTGAGGGAGTGAGCGCTTGGACCGGCGGCGGCGCCATTGCCAGTTCCCCGCTCTGACCACGCCCCCACATACAGCGTCACAACCCAGCGACCTGGGAGTCCAAGGCGCCACTTCTCACATTTAAAGGGCCAGAACAGACCAAAAATGTCGCAGGAAGACCTCAAAGCCCCACAGATAAATCTAAGTGACGAAGAAATAGCAAATCTCTCAGACGCACAGTTTAAAACACTGGTCATCAGCTTCCTCACAGATCTGGTGGACTATAGCCACAAATTAGAGAAACATATGAAGGCTAAATTAAGGGAAATGAATGGAATTCCACAGGAAAACCATAGAGATGAAAAAAAAACTGGGACTCAAATCAATGGAGTGGACCAGAAGGAAGAAGAAAAAAATCATCAAACAGAAAGGAATGAAGAAATAAGAATTCAGAAAAATGAGAAGCTTAGGAACCTCCAGGACATCTATAAATGCTCCAATATCCGAATTATAGGGGTACCAGAAGGGGGAAAGACACAACCACCAGTGGAAAAACTATTTGAACAAATAATAAAAGAAAATTTCCCCAATCTGGCAAAGGAAATAGACTTCCAAGAAATCCAAGAAGCTCAGAGAGTACCAAAAAAGTTGGACTCAAGAAGAAACACACCAAGGCATATCATAATTACATTAGCCAAAATTAAAATGAAGGAAAGAATCCTGGAAGCAGCAAGAGGTAAGGGGACAATCACCTACAAAGGAGTCCCCATCAGGCTGTCAGCAGATTTCTCAAAAGAGACCTTACAGGCAAGAAGGGGCTGGAAAGAAATATTCCAAGTCATGAAATCTAAAGACCTACAACCAAGATTGCTCTACCCAGCAAAACTTTCATTTAGAATGGAAGGACAGATAAGGTGCTTCTCAGATAAGACCAAATTCAAGGAGTTCATCATCACCAAGCCCTTATTATATGAAATGTTAAAGGGACTTATCTAAGAAAAAGAAGTTAAAGAAACATGAACAGTGAAAGGACAACAAACTCACAGTTATTAACAACCACACCTAAAACGAAAGCAAACTAAAAGGACAGCTAGATCAGGAGTGGAAACATAGAAATGAAGATCTCAAGGAGGGTTAGCAACAGGGGAGTGGGAGGAGGAGATGGGGGGAGAAGGTACAGAAAATAAGTAGCATAGACAGTAGATAGAAAATAGATGGGGGGGGCAAGAATAGTATGGGAAATATAGAACCTAAAGGACTTGAGACACATGGACATAAACTAAAGGGGGGTAATGGTGGGGTTGGGGGGGCAGGGTGGAGGGGAATGAAGGGGGGAATAGAACAACTGTAACAGCATAATTAATTCAAAAAAATGTACTTGAAAAGTAACTAAATAAAATTTAATATTAAAAAATAAAAAATAAAAATAAAAAAAATAATAATAAAAAAAAATGTTCTCTGGGAAAATGCCACGGTACAAGGAAGGTTAATAACAGATGGCAAACTTCCACATATATACACAACTATTGTTTTGCTAAAACAGTTCATTTAGTATTTCAATTTAAAAAAGAAACCTGCATTAACACATTTTATATTACACACACTCCCTTTGATTTCTTTTGTTTTGTTAAACTTTATTTATTTATTGAAAAGGGGGGAAGAAGGGAGAGAGGGAAAGAAACATGGACAAGGGAGAGAAACATGGACGTGAGAAATATCAATCCTTGTTCTGTTGCCTCTTGTAGCCCCAACCAGGACCAAACCCACAAACCCACGAACCCACAGTCAACCTTCGATTTGTGGGATGATGCCCAACCAACTGTGCCACACTAGTCAAGGCCTGCCTTTTATTTCTTATAGTAAATTCACAGTTAGTTTTTCTTCACCAGATCATTTATGTACTAATCTGTAACTTTCATGTAAAAAAATTCATTCAAATTTTCATGTAGATCTTCCTAAATAGACTTGAGACTATGCAACTTTCAACTAAATGTCTAAATTATCACAGTTAATTATCATACCAAGGAGTTCTGAATAATGATGGTCTAAATAATATGGGGAAAGAACCATAAAACTTACATGGTTTCCCTGGAAATTTCAGAAGTATAGAGACACAGAAAAATAATTCATTACCTGACAGTACCTGTAAAGATAATCTGTAGCATGGAAGCTTAAAACAAAACACAGCTTCATAAATCCCTGAAAACCTTGATATGTAACAATGTTATTGAGCAATAATGAATAATCTACATATAGTTTGCTTTAACTCACTGGAGTACTTAACATTCTTCTTTTGAAATTGTGAGAAACTATAGTTTTTTGATGAAAAAGAAAAAAATGCTTGTTTCCCATATAGTGTTTCTCTCATAAGAAATCAGGTCCACATTTCATTTTACACTATAAACTAACCTACAAAGTTTTTGGCCCTTTTTGATTGTATTTATCCTAGAATCATGAATCCTAGAAACTAAACAGCTGTTATTTACCATAATTTAAATAACACAGCTACCATTTAACTTCCCTGATATAATACAAACTTTTCTTATTGATACTGCTTTATGTATGAAGAAAAATACAAGAAGACAGAATTTGAAAGGTTAGAAAAGGATAGTCAGGCACACCAAATTAAGGAATTACAAGTTTTACAAAATAAGTGTAGCCCTAACCAAAGATTAATTTCCCAACAATGCATAGAACACATTAGAAAGAAGACAGATGATGACTAGAAGGCTAATTAAGAAGATTACATTAAATTTCAAAGAGTAAATTCACATTTGAATTGGACTGCTAGCAGTAAAATGATTAAGAAAACAAGTATGACAGATAGTGGTCAGAGAACTATACAGTCATTTGGGTTTTTTGGACAGTGAACTAATCTAGTGCCTCTCTGGGTGGCCACTGTAGTCCAGTAATCTATTTCTAGGAGTCTCAACGCTGCTATAAGACATTTTCTGTGGACTCTAAACTTTTGGATTCTTTTTTCTGTCCTTATGTTCTTTAAAATACCCTTTTCATGCATTGAGCAGGCATAAGAACAAAAGATTAACATATCTTTTAATAAAAGATTACATTTTGGAGTTTTCTGACTCAATGAAAATACTAAGTATCTTCCTACAATTAATATGTCACTACGGTGAACACTGAATTATGATAATTCTTTTTACTCGTTGATTTTTAAGGTGAGGAGCTATTTATAATTGGTTATATATACAAATAAATATAAAATCTTTAAAAATTTTTAATATTCTATTAAATTTAATACTTAACTTACAGATTTTAAAGTACTACATATCAGCCTTAGTCAGAGAATTTTTAATCTTATACTTAGTAAAATGAGTACTTAAGTATATACTTACAATTACAGGCTCTACTAATAGCCGAAAGAGTGTTCCTACTCGTATACTTCGACAGCTTAAAATGACACTGTCAAAGGAACTTTGGCAGCCTAAAGATACAGGATCAACTAAAGTTTCTTGAGAAATCACTCTGCGACGCTTTAGAGGTGTGCTGACAATAGAATTACCATACTGAAAAAGAAAAAATAATTTTCACTTAATAAGTTACTAAAACGAGGCTACAAACTAAGTACTATACATATGCAAAGAATACCCAATATGAGAAATGTAATGATCAAAATATAAGATTTACATTACCCCAGCAGTGTGAGATGAAGTAGAAACATGTTGATTTTATATATTAAACACGTCTATTTTATATAGTTATATTTTAGCTCGTTATTACTTAAAATTCAGAATACAGAACAGCAGTGAGAAATGGTACTCTGGGAATCAGACTGGTTGGCTTTGAATCACAGCTATACTGTCTTTTAATCATCTGATTTTGTAAACTTAATAGTAATTCCATAAGTTTTGGTTTTGTAAACTAAAATATGAAGAGTAAGAGTATCTACTCAAATGAGCTAATGCCTATAAGCATCTTAGCACAGTGCTTCATGCACAGTAAAATACTGGATAAAAGTTAGCTAGTAATAGGTTAGCTTGTTATAATATTTGGATTAAATGAACAACTCTTTAGAGAAAATGGGTAATTTAGAGAAGTGGTTATTTACATTACAAAAGGATTCCTCTTTAAATATTAAAGCTTTTAAACTCCTTGATTTAATATTTCAGTCAAATCCAAATGTAAATGAATCATAATACAAAATATTTTATATAAGTATAGTTTAAATTAAAAGTAATTAAAGTTATATTAAAACTCCATTATTATCATCATCAAGAGAATAAAATATCACCTTGATAAAAAAAAAAGAAAGAAAGATATGCAGTGCACAGAGACAGGACTATTCTCGTTACACCTACAGAGACATTTCTATGATCTGTTTCACAGGAAAAAAATACTAAAACAAAAACACATTTATACCTGGTAAAGTGCTCTTTCAGGCTTATTAATAGGCTGATCATAAATTATTTTCTTAGATATTAACAGAAACCTATCAGAGAGGTTAAGAACATTTTTTAGCTTTAGAATTCTTTCTTCAAATGAGATGTTATTTAGCTCAATAATAAAATAGATCATTTAAGAGCTTCTCCAGCTGAATCCACAGTAGAGACAGACTAGAGATGGGGTCATCCATAACCTCCCAAGGAGCATCTGAAAAACCTCTCAGGAACCCTAACTGTTTAGGTTGAAAATTGTTCACCCACAATAACTACCATATAGGAAATCCATCATTTATTAACTGAACTCTCCTATGCTGACATCTGAGTTCTTTCTGACCTTTTCCCCTAACATTATTCACCAAGAAGCATTTTTGCTGATAAATCCTGGTATGTATAATTACTGCCAAATTGCCCTCCAGCATAGTTATTTTACCAATTTACACACCCAACATTCCATTTCTCCAAACCCTAACCAAGATTTACACACCTAACCATTCCATTTCTCCAAACCCAAACCCCCTTGAAGTACTACTGTACTTCGAAAGTTTCCATCATTTCATTTTCAATACTACCTTTTTTCTTATTACTTATTTTTCTAAAGCTGGCTTCTATTTCTTGATTTTTAACAAATTAAAAATATATAAAGGACCAACTCACATTCTGTCACATATTTCATTCTTTTATTTGCATTCACCTATCAAATTATGTTTATGATGTTTGATATACTGTTCTGTACTTTTCTTTTGATCTAATATATTCATCTCTTCATTTTACTACTGCTTGTGCTGAGATGTTTGGAAAGACATCCTTCAAGATTACATTAAAAATATTAATCCATTTTCTTTTATCCTTCTTATTGCTTTCATTTTAATTTTTTATGGTCCCCTTCTTAACAACTAAGTATGTAAATTTCCTATTTTTATCTATATTCCTGTAATCCCAGACATGTATATATAAACCATATATAATTATTACAGGTTTCTTACTTTTAAAAAACATTTTACAAAAATAAGAAAATATACACATATTTCTGCATCTTGGTATTCACACTCAATAGTACCATGTAGAAATCCCAAGTCACTGCTATAGCTCTAATTTTTATTGTCAGTGGCTGCATAACAGGCCAGGACAGTCCTTGGCTATATCATAATTTCTTTATTGATTTCCATATTAATGGACATTGATTTAATATGCAGTTGTATGCCAACAACCATGTTTATACATAGTCTTATGTACTATGGAGGGAGGATTCCTTTGAAATTGACTCCAGGGAATTAATTAGCTGGTCATTCAGTATACATTAAAAATTTTTCAATAGGTGTGTTTACACTGCTTTCCCCAAAGATCATGACAGCTTTCTTTTCCATCAGCAAATTACAAAAGTGCTCTTTTCCTCAGATTCTTGCCAGCAATATATATTAATTGGTTTTGTATTAATTTTGAAAGTCTGTTTAAAATATGCTTATATTTCATTGTCCTTAATTTGTACTGCCTTACTAATTTGCACTTTTCATGTGGTAGTTTATTATCCGTCTTTGACTATTTTTTTTCATTTTCTTTTTTCCTTCAACTTTGAAGAGTTCTTAATCCATTACATATGTTAACACAGTGTATGTCATCTGCATTACAAATGTTCCTTTCTAGCACTATAGTTTGTCTATTGACATAATTTTTATCTTTTCTACCTGAACATTTTGAAAATTTGATGTAGTAAAATATAATACAGTAGAATACATTTAAACACACCCAAGTTAAAAGGACTTCTCCCTGTCCCCAAATTATACAAGTATACTTGTTTACACCTGCATTTTGATATAAGGTTCATGCTGACTCTTCCTGCTGAACATTTTACACTTTAAACTTCAATTTAATTGAATGTTCTTCCAAATAATCTTCCAAGTGGTATTTTAAGCCTTACTTAATGAATAATTTATCTTTTTCTATTAACATTGTCAAATTACCCTCTAAACTAATAGTTGCATCCCAAAGGGGAGACATTATCTGAATAAATGCCAATGAATATAAAAGTACCTGATCTTTCATTCTTGCTTTTCTTGGCAACGGAACTGTATTTAACTCTGAATTTGCTGGACTGCTTCTTAGTTCATGCTCTACTCTACAGGTATTTTCATTTAGTGCTGCTTCCACTTTTCCAGTGGATGGTGCTGGGGAAGAACATGCTGAATCGGCAGGTTGAGGAGACACACTCTCTCTTCTGTTAGTCCTGTCATCATCATCATCATCATCATCACTGGACAAGATGACTATAAAAAATAATACTTCATGTAGTTCATTTCTGGCATTATATATATTTATATTAAAAATGCAAACATATTATCAAAGTAGAGAATATAACAAATTTGGTATGGATCTCTTTCAGATCTGAGATTAATAAAAACAAATGAAGATACAAACCACTCTATCTGATGAAAAGTTAAATTCTGAAAACAATTGGAAATAAAACATATAATCTGGCATCTATTTTTTATAACATACAGATACAAAATTGACTCTACAGTCCATCATTACCACACACAAAGAAGCATACACAAGTTAAATGTTTAATCAGAAGGTCTATCTCAAAGTTTCAAACAAGCAAAAGTATGACCATAATCTGCATACAAATTGTTCAAAAAATAGCATGCATTTTAAGTGTATGTAAAACTTCACATGACCACGTAGTTTTAGTGATATAAAATTATGTGGTCATGTGACCACACTAGGAAACATTCCACATTTTTAGGAATCACTAAAATCATAACTGGTCCTTAGGAGAACTTGGACTAGCATCTAATGCTCAATCTTACTGAAAAATTAGCATGGACAAGAAAAGGCATTGTGAAGGTAACTTACAATTATCCTTTGTACTTACTAAATCTTATCAAAACCATCTGTATATCATGATTCCCCAAAGCAACCCACACTGCACTTAAGTCAAATCCTAACTCTTTACTCCTCATTTAGTTTATAAATGTACATAATCTGGCCCTTGCCTACTTCTCCAACTTTCTTCTACTACTACATTTTTCCTCCTTTATACTCCAAACAAACTAGTCATTTATTCTGTTACTCAAATACCGCAAGCGTGTTCCTGTCTGGATTGCAATTTCTGTAACTCCTTCTACCTTTGTCATCAAGTATTAGCTCAAATATCCCTTTTTGATTGACTACCTAATTTAAAGTAAGAACATGGGCACTTGATTATTCACATCAAGTGATTCAAAACTTGTTTTTACTGTGCATGTTAACTTGCTCGTTTCTCTCTCCCTACTACACATTAACTAGGCCTTGTCCACTGCTATACAAGTCTAAACCAGTACCTGCCTGGCACAAGAAAAAAAAAAACACAAAAATGATCTGTTGAAAAATGCATAAATTTCTAGGAGCAATTTTCTTTTTTAGTAATCTACACATAAATGCTTAGTTAATATTTTTGGAGTAGTATATGTGTCCCTAATTGGTATCATCCCCAGCATCTTTTTCACTGTCTTTTTTATTTTGCTGTACAGTCTCAGAAGCAAAGCTTAAGGACTTAAAATGGATCTTTTTCAGAACTGGTATTATATTGACAGAATACATTAACAGGCCAGATTAGATGGTCTAACCAGATTTACAAACATTTGTTAAATTAGGGTTTTGTTTGCCACATTCTCACTATTTGCCTCATCTGTTCCTCTCTGTAAAACTGAGGAGAATGACGGTACCTACTTCAAAGGACTGTCGCAAGAACATAAGAGTATGTAAAAGGCTTAATTAGCACAGTGCCTAGTGTTCTGTCTACAATTATTTTTATGATGCTTCAGGGACACTGAAACTTCTGTGTCTACTACACTGAAAACTTATTTTAAAGCCCCAATGCTGCAACAGGTAGACCTGTACTACCAATTCTTGTTAACTTATTAATTTTAAATGATTGAGAGTTGTGCTCAATGTCACTGTATTTGCAAAGCAAAGAGAGAGTGTACAAACGTGGTGGTATAAAGTTAAAAAGTTGTTCATAGCTGCTTTAATTCTAGATAAAATATAAAATATACTCTAATATATATTTAAAATTCTTCATCAGAGTCTGTTACAAACTGAACTGTGTCCCCTCAAAATTCTATGTTGAAGCCCTAAATCCCCAATGTGACTATATTTGGGAATGGAGCCTATCAGGAGGTAATAAAAAAGTTAAATGAAATCAAAAGGTGAAGCCTGAATCTGATAGGACTGGTGACCTTATAAAAAGAGGAGATACCAGAGGTCTCTCTCCACACATGCGCAGAAGAAAAGAAGAAAGGCCATGTGAGGACAAAGAAGAAAGGCAGCCCTCTTACAAGCCAGGAAGAGAGGTCTCAACAGACACATCAACCCGGGACACCCTGATCTTTCACTTCCAGTCTCCAGAACTGTGAGAAAATAAACTTAGGTTGTTTGAGCCACTCAGTCTGTGGTACTGTTATGGCAACCCAAGTACACTAATACAGGGTCTTTGTACTTATTATGCCAAGCTTGTTCCATAAATATCAGCATATCACCCTCTTTCCTTTTTGGACTCTGTTCCAAAGTTGCTTTATCAAAGGTGCCTATTCTACCACCTATCTAAAATAGCACCCTTTCTGACACCTTATAATTATCAATCTCTATTTCCTGGACCTGCTTCATTTTTCTACACAGACTTTATGATTACCTGAGACACTGCATATTTTATTATTTGACCACCCACAACACAAGCTTCATAATCAACTATTAGAAATACAAATTTAAGAATGATTAAGAATATAAAGAAAACAGACTCTGGAACCAGAAAAAAATGTTTAAGTAAGCTTTTATTTCTTTTCTTATTTATTGATTTTAGAGAAAGAGAGAGAGAAGGGGGTTAGAGAGAGACAGGCAGATATCCAAAAAGACATTAATTTGTTGTCCCACTTATTTACGCATTCACTGGATTACTCTAGTATGTGCCCTAAACAGGGATCGAACCCACAACCTTGGCATATCAGGATGATGCTCTGCCCAACTAAACTACCCAGCCAGTGCTGAAACAATGCTTTTAAAATCTACACTCCAGTAGTCCACATGTGTGTATTATTTATTCAATCTCCTTAAGCCAAGACTGCCTTAGTTATAAAATGGAATATATTAGTACGTACCTCGCATGATTCTAAAATTTAAATGGATTAGTGTGCAAAACTTTATCAGAAAGCAGGGAATATAAGCACACAATAAACCATAGCTTTTATTTTTTTTAAGATTTTATATATTTATTTGTGGAGAGAGGAGAAGGGAGGGAGAAGAGAAACACTGACGTGTGAGAGAAACACCAACTGACTGCCTCTCACCCCCCAACCACAGGCCCGGCCTGCAGCTCAGGCGTGTGCCCTAAGTGGGGGGTCGAAGCAGCCTCGGTTCGGGTTTTAGGATGACAGCCATCTACTGAGTCACATCAGTCAGGGCTGATAACTTTTATTATTAATATGATATATCCTTAAAATAGAACGTATTTTTCTTATACTTACATGGGAAGTATTTAAGGTTTTAATTTTTTTGAGTACAAGGGAATAAATTTATGTTCTATGGTTTTAATTCATGGTTGATATAGTTAAGCTATGAAAAGTAAACTGCTTAATACACCTAAGGACCACATGAAGTTATTGCCTTGTATGATCAGCACACATGGTTGATGTGGACATGGTATTTACTTGATTTGTTACTTATCAACTTAGCCTTACTAACTTCCAGTTCCTAGCATATTGGTAACTTCCTCAGAATGTTACATTTCCTATATGAAGAGTGGCTCTGAAATAGTAACTGCCTAGTAAGTGAGGGTTTTTTCCCCTACCTTACCATTAATAAAAAGCTCACACTTAGAAAAGATCCAAATGATATTAATATTTAATATTGCAGTGGTATAAAATATATCATAAAATACTCATCAAATAGCAACATTATTATATTATAATAGAGGTATAAGCTGCACAGCCATTACAAAACATCTCTTTTAAACTGTGTTTTAAGAACTAGCTAATGTACTAGTATGGGCTCAGTTTTTTATATGAAACTGAATTAAAATAGAACTCGACAGTTCTGAGGTTTTAAAAAAAAAGCTTAATTTTATCCCCTTTATTTACCAGTTTTCAGAGTAACGACTAGGTACCTTAAGCAATGTCCAAAAGTAACCAATGGACTTTTTCTTTTGGGCAAAATTAGGGGATATCATTATAAACTGATTGATTATACCATGTTTGACATATTTCAAAAAATAGTAGTTATGACTCGGTTTGTGACCCAAGTATTCCCATCATTGGTCAATGGGTGCTCTCTCATTTTAACTCCTATGTCTTTCTGGCAGCTTCCATGCTTCCTAATATGACTAGATGGTCTAGGTTTATTCATACCAGACCTTGAGTTAGCAACTTCCTTGAAGAGCTCTGGTATTTTTAGTGGAACATGATATTCAAAAATATGAAGAGGGGAACGAGGGTTGTTTCTATATAAGTAAGGGCTGCTTACTCTTTCTAGGCATTTTCTGTGGGAAGAGCTAAGAAATATATTTTCCATCTAAGAGAAAATATACAATAAGTTCATATTAGCTCTGATTTAAATGTAAAGTTACAAGATATTGATCTCTTTCATTTTACTTTTGTATCCTCTTTTTATAACACTGAAAATCTTGGTTTCTGGAGACAATAATGTAATCATTTATTTATTTTATCAATGTATTTAAAAATCCCAAAACCAATAATGTTAGTAACCATATCACTGAATATACTTAGGATTCCTTTGCAGTTCCATTTGACCTTAAAATATCTCACATGAGGATGCACAGCCACAATCTCATTTTAATTTACATCCATTTGAAATAATTCTTCTGTGTGTTCAAGACACCAACTAGATATATAATGATGTTCACTTATTTCATTTCAATTTTGATTTTGTTTTTAAAAAGTTGCAATTTAGCTCTGGCCAGGTAATTCAGTTGGTTAGAGCAGCATCATGATATGCCAAGGTTGCAGGTTAAATCTCTGGTCAGGGCATATACAATGAATGCTTAAATAAGTAGAACAAACTGATGTTTCCCTTTTTAAAGTAAATCAGTAATTTTTTAAAAAAACTAAAAATAGCCCTGGCTGGTGTAGCTCAGTGGATTGAGCGCGGGCCTGCGAACCACACGATCGCGGTTCGATTCCCAGTCAGGGCACATGCCTGGGTTGCAGGCTGGTTCCCTGCAGGCCAGTTCCCAGCAGGGGACGCACGAAAGGCAACCATACATTGATGTTTCTCTCCCTCTCTCCTTCCCCCCTTCCCCTCTAAAGATAAATAAATAATAAAATATTAAAAAAAAAAAAAACTAAAAATAAATCAAAGCAAAAACTTGTCATTTAATCTTCTTTTATAAATCATATGAAACATTTGTATGGTTCTAAAGTCTGATCTATAAAACAAGTGTATTTGGAGACATCTAGCCTCTCTAATCCCCATACTGTTTCCCTTCGTTCCAACCATTTTTAAAATCAGTTTCTGATATATCTTTCCATTTAAAAAAAACCTAGATTCTTCTCTCACCCTTCATAAAGGGTAGCATAATATACACTCTAATATTCATTTGGTTAACAGATCTTGGAAATCACTTAAACAACACTAAATCATAACTTTCTCTTCTTTTACAACTACATGTACTATAGTTTTTTCAACCAGTCCCTGTTTCCAATCTTTGGCTACTTGTTATAATAGGACTGTGTTCCATATACACACACACACTTGTGTCTAAAGACACAAAAAAAGATTTAAGGGAGAAACAACATGGTAAGTAAACTAATTTTTAGAGTCCTTTCTACCTGTAAAATATTTTATTGGGTAAGGCTAGGCACTTTATATGTTATTTTATTTACTGCTTCAAAAATACTGTCAATGAGGAAATGAATCCTTATTTATAGATCAGAGAAATTAAATTAACCAGACCAAAGTTAGGAAGCTGGGCATAACTGGACCTGACCTAGGACTGAGGCCAAGTTCTGTGCTTTTGTTGTTTATGAAGTAAAGGATGAGAATACGGACAGTTTTAATGATCTATCCAAAAAATGTTGCAGAACTAACACAAGTAGATACAAATCAAAATCGCACTTCTCAAACACATTCATGCTCACTTCAAAATATATGTGAAAAATACTGGACTCACATAAGTAACACCAAAAGGAGTAAATCACTTACTTGGATCATTTAGTCCCGATAGGCTTTTCTTTTCTTTCAGATTTGTGATTTTGGCTCCTTTTGCCTTAGGTAAAGCAACTTTCCCATTAGTCTGTAAATAATTCTGTCTACTATCATCACAGTTCACAATAATATCAATTGGGACCTTTCCCACACTGTTTCCATAAAACTTCTTGACCGTTATGTTTTGTGACTTCTGTCCTCCAGAATTTTGATGATTTGACATTTTTAATAATGGTCCGGTTGATTCATTCAAAGTTACAGCTTGTCTGCAATTTCTTTGCAAATCCTTAAGAAAAAGAATACCACAACTTTGGCATTTGGTCTGAATTTCTTTTACTTTTCTACATTTTGGACAACATTTACACTGTTCAGAAAGCTTAAGTTCCAAAAAAATAAGACTTTGGCATTTTATTTCAACATCAAATAACAAATACAAAAATCTCAAAATTAACTCTTTCCCTCCCCTTCATCATCGCTGTGGCTACCCACAAAAAAATCCAGAATATGTCCTATCAGTTAGGATTTAGTGTCAGAATTATGAAGAAATTTTGAGACCTTCTAGTGCAGCAGTCTCCAAAATAAACCACATATGACTCAAGGGCTACCTAAAGATTTTCAAAAGCATACAGTGAATAAATGATCTTAAAGGAATCAGTATCTACATTCTCAGTTTCTACATATAACCTTCCCCAAAGCTGATATGATTATGCTTCTGATGTCAAGGCATCTCCTGCCACAACTGCTCTTCACCTGAAAGAAAGCAAGAAAGCAAGCAAGAAAGAAAAGAACTCTGCCCTTCCAGCATGAATCAGTTGGTTGGAGCATTGTCCTACACACCAAAAGGTTGTGGGTTTGATACCTGGTCAAGATACACACAGGAAGCAACCACTGTTTTTCCTTCATATTAATATCTGTATCTGTCTCTCTCTCTCTCACATCCATCAACATCCTTGGGTGAGGATTAAAAACAAAGAAGCAGCCCTGCCCAGTATGACTCAGTTGGTTGGGCACCATATCACAAAGTGAAAGGTCACTGGTTCAATTCCAATGACCTTTCAGGGCACATGCTTGGGTCGCAGGTTCTGTCCCCAGTCAAGGCACGTGCGAGTATTTGATGTTTCTCTCTCACATGGATGTTTCTCTCCCTCTCTTTCTCCCTCCCTTCCCCTCTCTCTAAAAAATAAAAAAGTAAAATCTTTATTTTTTTCAATTTTTTAAAATATTTTATTTATTTTTAGAGAGAGCAGAAGGGAGAGAGAAAGAAAGGAAGAGAAACATCCATGTGTGAGAGATACACAGATCAGTTGCCTCTCACATGCCCCCAACCAGGGACCCAGCCCACATCACAGGCATGTGCCCTGACTGGGAATGAACAGGAATCAACAGGGATCCCACTTTTGCAGGCTGGCACTCAATTCACTGAGCCACACCAGCCAGAGCAGTAAGTAAAATCTTTTTTTTAAAAACCCACTATGGGATAATTTTAAATGTTGAAAATTTTTTTTAAATGTTGAAAAAAAAGTCAGTTTTGGTTAACAAAAACTTTGCAAGACAACTGATGGAATTCTAAGACAGTGCTTCCAAAATATTTTAATATAGGCCTAATCTAGGTTACCATTTTCAGATTAAAAAATGGTTTTTTGACAGTAGAGTATCATACAATTTGAAGCATATAGTTTAGAAGAAGTTCAAAGAATTAAGTGACAACTACTATAATATAATTCTTTCCATGGTCATGTATTTATTTATGTGAACAAGATTCCTCAGCATTTATTTCTAGAAGAATAAATGTAGGAATAGATGTTGAGTCTCAGTATATAACATATATTTATCCATAGACACATGAAGTAATTAAGAACAAGTCAATATCTCTAATTTAAAGATGCATTTCAAATAACTTTATGCCAAATAATTACTTATCAAACTTTGCAACAATATATAATTTTAACCTATTAATAATTATTTTAAATATTATTATGCATTATACATTGTATTCTTTTTTAACTCAAGTATAACTGATATACAATATTATATTAGTTTTGGGTGTACAATATAGTGATTCAACATTTAGATACCTTACAATGCAATCACCACACTAAGTCTAGTAATCATCTGTCACTGTGCAATCACAGTATTATTGATTATATTCCCCTTCACCTTTTCCACCCATCCCTCATCCCCCCTTCCACTCTGGCAACTATCCATTTAATCTGTTTCTATGAATCTGCTTTTCTTTTTAATAAATAAAATAATCTAAAATAAAAAAATTTTAATACTTCAAGCTTCATACCACAGGAAATTAAGTGAATAAATATTTGTTGTGACAATGCAAATGACAAAATGACATGGTAATTATTAAGATTTACTATATTTGGATTTTACCAGATCCACACATGAGAAGGGAGATCTAACCATTTTATTTTAAAAAGTTACTCCTTTCACTATGTCAGCTATTACTTTCTGTGAGACCATTTAAGCTTTACATGAAAAATGTTCAAAGTCAACTTAAAAATTCATAAGAATACATAGCTGTTTAAAATTATTTTAAATCTGTTAAGTGACAGGAGTTTTCAAGTATTTGCAAGAGTACTAAATGGCAGGGGATAGCTATAAAATATTACATCTCTCTATATAAATATCAAAATTCTTTTAAATGAATGCTTAAGTTCTATACATTTTTTCTATGTGAATTTATAATTCAAAAGTATATGCAAAGTACACAAACAAAAAAGTCTAAGGACCACGGTTACTAGTCTGGCCCCCTTTTTTAAGTGTGAAAAAATGACAAAAAAATGTTTACCTTGCCTAACATGACCAATACAAAGTTCTTCTCTTATAGCAGTTACCTATTCCAGGATCTACCCTAGATAACAAAACGATAAAAACCTAGTTGCAACCAGGCCAAAAAAGAACTTAGTCAAACACCAACCAACTCATTGTCACAGGATATGTAGGTTATTTTAAAAAAAAAAAAAAAAAAAAAGGATGTGTTTCTCTGACAGTACACGGGAGAACTCTTCTTATCCTATTTGTGAAATATAGGTATAAGGAAATTAATCTCATAGCACATTCAATAGCATCCTATGTATTATGAATGCATAGATAACAGCTAAACTATGCAAACAACTGGTTGGACACAAATAGGGTACATATGGTCTCACTCTCATATTTAGCCTTTTGCCAAAAGAAAAAGAGAGAACATTATATTTAAATGAAATACAGCAATGCAAATTCATAACCATTTTACATTAAGCATAATTTCTTCTGGAAAACAAAGATCCATGAAAGACTTATAAAATACATGCAAATTACATATCACATACTATTTACCAGTCTCTAAACATAAATACGAGGTCTGTTCAGAAAAAGTCCAGCCACATTAATGCCAGAATGGTTTGTACCACTTCACTGTACCAGTCAGTGGGGGTGACAGACACTGTTGAGTAAGCATGTGTATTGTGTGGCCATCACATTCAAAATGATTGAATGAGCAGAGCCAACGTCTCTATCCAATTTTGCATTAAGCTTGAACATTCTTCTGTGAGAACTATTCAGATGATTCAGAAGGCCACAGCTATGGGCAACTAACTGGTGTTTGGCAGCTTCATCACAACATGCCTGCTCATGCATCACATCTCATGTGGAGGTTTTGAGGAAACACAAATCACCCAGGTGACTCAGTTCCCCTACAGCCCAGATTTGGCACCCTGTGACTTCTGCCTTTTCCCAAAACTAAAATCACCTTTGAAAGAGAAGAGATTTCAGACTGCTGATGAGATTCAAGAAAATGTGATGGAGCAGCTGATGGTGACTGGGAGACCTGTGTGAGGTCCCAAGGTGTCTACTTTGAAATGGACTGAAGCATCATTGTCCTATGTACAATGTTTCTTTTATCTTGTAGCTTCTTCAATAAATATCTCTATTTTTCCTATTACATGGCTGGATATCTTTTGGATAGACCTTGTATTAACCAAGGTAAAAGTGTCAGTCATGTGAAAAATCAACACTGTATGCCTCTTGATATAATAGTAAGATTATAGCAACACCACCTGAGGATTCTTGAAAAATGTATAAATCATTAATAAACATCAGACAAACCCAACTCGAGGTTCAAAGTAAGTGATCTATACTCACAAATATCTAATATTCTCACAGATACTTCTCACAAATATCAAGGTTATGAAAGACAAGAAAAGACTAACAAAGATTAATGATCATGGCAATTAAATGTAACATCTAATCCTAAACAGGATCCTGTATTAATAAAGAACATCAGGTAATACCTGAATGGACTGCATGAATTATATGGTAATTTTGAATTACTGTTAATTTTAAAATTTTGACAGTTGTAATCTGGTTACATAAAAGAATGTCCTTTTACAGTTTTCACTTTTTTAAGAAAAAACACACTAAAATATTAGCTATAAATAAGCTAATACTTATTACCTTCATGCTAAGAAACATCATGCCTGTTTCTTATACTCAAATGGTGCAGAAAAATACACAGACAGTATGTAGCAAGGGAGAAGGAAAGATGGCAGAGGGAGGGAGAACAATAAAGCAAATGTGGAAAACTAAGGAATCAAATAAAAAGATGTGCAAATACTCTTTCTGTTTTGTTTTGTTGGTTTGTTTTTTAGTATACTATAAATTGAAAATTATTTCAAGAAAATTCTGGTTGACAGTAGTTATTTGCAACATGTTGCAAGGGAGGCACTGATACATTCCTTTCAGAAAAAGACATATTCTAGATCTTGGATAGTTAAAAGTAACCTAGCGAAGGCAGAAAATCTTGCCTAAATAAATTTTTAGGTTCTCTTCGAGTCCTATGAGAAAAGGTCACTTAAAATTCAGTAAATACTAAAAATACCATCTGACTGACAACAAAAAATAATTTCTCTACCCACCTCTAAATTGGTTAAACATTTTTTTGAGGCAGGAGACAGAGGAGACGTAGACTGGTATGTACTGTGACGTTTCTGTGATACTTTCCTCTTAATTTCAGACTCTGAGTGTGATTGAGACGCTTCTGTTTTCTTCATTATACGATCTAAAGGAAGAAGACAAAAACAAAAGTACTAAAATTAAATTTGATAAATTCCTCATGATCCTTGTTATGAAAAAATACTAATTTATATTATCAAAAATTTTTAGTTACATTAATGTTTCAACACATACAATAAAGAATAACCAGAACTTTAAGTCAAGACAATTACATGACACAATATTATAATATAGTTTAAGAAAACATAATTATGAAGCTATAACACCAGTTAATATTTGAATCTTGAATTTAACAAAAATGGTAATATAGTAATTTCAAATTGTAATCAACTGAATGTGTAACCATTTCAGGGTGATTTTATTCACAATAAATTCTAAATATTTCTATTCTGCCTGGGAATATTCTAAAGCCAGTGTCATACCTTTATTTCTACCTGTCATGCAACTACTCAAAATCCTTTACAAATGTAACAGAGAAAACTACACACTTACCAACACCATGGGGCCGACCTAACCTTACAGGATTACTTTCAAATTTTTGGACGTGAGGTGGGTATTCTTTCCTATAAAAGGAAATTTATATAGTTTTATTCTAACAGAAAAAATATTGTTCAAAATGAAAAAATTAGAAGCAGAGCATAACTTCTTTGCTATATAAAAATGACACTATAAAAATAATAAAACTATATTGCACAAATATACTAAAACTTACTAATACATTATAAGAATCCTAAAGTCAGTGACTATTTTTTTACCTAGACTGTCAATCTATCAAAGCCCATAGCAAGCATCCAAATAACTCTCTTTTCAAAGTAGTCACTTTAGAAAGTTACACATTTATTCCCCAAATACACAAAACATAAAAATTTTTCTTTTGGAATTTCCTTCATAATCAGTTTATAAAAGCCATATTACAAAATAACTTGTAATACTTAACTGATACACATTTGTTGGGTAAAAATATCTCTGAACTTAATAATACTCAATTTGTCTAATTTTGTTGTACATGCTTCTAATTGTTTAAAAGCAAATGAATAAATAAAAGAATATATAGTGAATAAAATATTGACCTTGAGAAGAATTCCAGAGTCATTACAAAAAGTGTTATGTATAAAACTGGCAATCACAGAACAAGTATTTTTGTCTTGTAATATTACTATATTGGGAATACACTGTCTTTAATATAGTAATTACGTTATCAGACTTCACATATAATTAATTTTCAGAATTTTGAACACAATCTTTAGTAAATATGGGTCCTAAAATTAACCATTTAAATCCAAATATACACTAATTTGGGGGGAAAGCAAAAAACCTATAGCTAATTGTGATATATAAACATTAAAGGAGATTTGCAAAATGCAACAGACTAGAGAGCTACAGTAGCTAGATACTATCCATCCTACAGAAAAGCTTCTAAAAACATTCCAATTTTATTTAACCGGGGAATTAAAAATATGAAGTTATTCTATTATTTGTAAATCCATTTACACTAGTGATTGACACCAAATTAATTAAACAAAAACTCCAAAGGAAGTTTTCTGTAAAGATTTAACACTGAATTTTAAAGGTCAAACCACCTAAATTGAGAACCAAATATGAAAATGGCACAAGAAAGAAAATAGTAAGAGTAGTGATAGTGAATTTGTAATAGCGGTTAGCAATTAGTGAGCGTCATGTGCCAGGTACTGTTCTAAGTGCTTCCCTTCCATTAACTGTCTTAATTCTCACAATAATCTTACCAAGCATACACTATTATTAGCACTTTATAAATGAGGCAACTGAGGCACAATAAGGTTAATTAACTTGCCCAAGATCACGCAACTATTAAATAACAATGCCAGAATTTGAATCCTGCTACACTGTATTAATATTGATAAGTATTGGTGTTTTCATCATTATAGAACATCATTTAATACAACCTGGCTATTTCCACCCTACCAAAATTTTAATATTAGTGAGGATATGAGTTGTGAAGATGAGAAAATGCATTAGAGATAGTACTACTAGTGCTATGATAAAGGTAGGTTTTTCAGCTCCTAACTACAATAATTTAGCTAAAAATAAAATGTATTATTTTTAAATTCTATACACTTTCACACTAAAGAGAAGATAATATTCTCTAAATCACATAACTAATTTTTTATCTATAATTTTCATAACTGTACACCTTGGAAAAGTAAACATGCCAAATTTAAAATGCAACAGAAGCAATAATTCTGAAGTAAAGTATGATGATACTACTACAGTTAACTCCCAAATCTCTGTGCATTGTATATTTTTTTAAATAATGGACAATGTAAACATATTCTTAAATCCCAAGGATTATCAGCAATGTAAGTTAGAGTGGCCAAAGGAAAAAAAATCTGAAAATACAGATATGCTGCAGAATGCTGTAAGCACAGCTTTTTTAATAGCAACTGACATAAATGATCTGAGACAATAAATCATAAATGTGCATGGACTGATGAAAATGCTGCATTAATATAGTGTTCTTTACAATTTGCTCAAGTGTACTGACTCTTGCATAGGAAACGAACAATACACTAAATACATCATGTAATATCCATGACCTTATCATGTATTATAATTTAATGTTAATAAACTATTATGTATATTTGCTAACATACCAGACATTATGGCCACTCTATATCCAATATTTGCTTCATGTTACCCTATACAAAGAGGACAAATTAAGTTTTGTTTTAAAAAAATGTATTATAATAAATAAATTACAGAAATAAAAGCATGCCTTAGGTTTAATATAAAAATATAAGAATTTCAGGATAAAACCATTAGCTTTAAAAAAGAATTTTAAAATCTTTCTAGTATTAGTAACTTGTATTCTTTAAATTTTAGTTTAGTTTTAAAAAGACTTTTGCTAGGTGAAAAAAATCAAATTTTATGTTAATTTCTTCGTTTAAAGGTTTCACTACTCTACAGATAACTAAAATTTCAAACTCCAAACTGAAATGAAGCTCAAGCCTAGAGTTTAAATTCCCAGTGGATAGCTCTTTCCCACCTCAAACCAAGCGGAAGTAAAGAAGCTTCCCTGCCATGCAATTTCCGTGGCAGGAGGTTTTTAGGGCTTCTGAGGGTTTATGTTTTACAAAGAAGTTAGAGAAAAACCTCACCTTATGGGCCCAACATTTTATAAGCTACAGAAAAATGAACTGGCACAACTATTCTTTCCTTCTTTGCAGAATTGTTTAAATTAACATTAGAATGTTCTGTTCATTAAAGGTTAGGCCTCAGCCCTAAAAGTTTTTTTAATAAACTTAATTTTAGCCCTGGCTGGTGTAGCTCAGTGGATTAAGCATGGGCCTGCGGGACTGAGGGCTACCAGTTTGGTTCCCGGTCAAGGAGCATGCCTGGGTTGCGGGCCAGGTCCCCAGTGTGGGGTGCACGAGAGGAAACCACACATTCATGTTCCTCTCCCTCTCTTTAAAAACAAAAAATAATAAACTTAATTTTAGAATAATTTTAGATTTGCAGAAAAGCTTGAAAGACCATTCACAATTCCCTTACATCCCACAGTTTTTCCTAATGTTAACACCTTCATTACCATCATACATGTAAAAAAAAAAAATCAACATTGATACACTACTGTTAACTAAACCCCAGACTTTATTCAGATTTCACCAGAATCTGAATTCTATTAGATATTCCACTAATATCTTTTTCATTCCAGAATCTAATCCAGAATCCAATGCATTGAGTTTCCCATCACTCTGACACTAGAAAAGAACTAATCGGCTGTTGTGTAGAATGTACCTCATAGAATGTGTGCTTTATAAAACGTGCTCCTTTGTCCTATTTAGTGCTTCTAGTTCTTAATACATCTCATTGTTATTAAAATTCAACTCACAGCTTTCCTTTTGTTTGTATCTTTTGTAACTTTAAACACCCTTTCACTTACTGATTGTTATTTTATGACTCATTCTTCTACACAACATGATATAGTTGGATTTAACCCAATCAGCTTGTCTTTTATTAAATTTATTCAACCTGATCACAATTATTATAACAGTTAATAGGCTTCAAGTTCTTCTTTCTTGTTACTTTATTAGTTGTTAATTTTTATATTTGTATTTGTTTCCTCTTTTCCACTATTTATACCGGTTTAGACAATTGCTATCCATTGCACATTCCAACTATTAATTAACAAATGAATAGTTTGGAATAATTCCAAACTATTTGGACCATTACTCCAATGGCATACTTCTATTCATGAATGTTATCAAGATTTAAATTTTCACGCACGATGTTCTACTGCCTCCCTAATAGGATGAGATCTTTAAAATTATTTTACTTGCACCCTACCCCTCACAATCCATTTGCCAAGAAAAGGCCTTTAAGAATCCTTTTACTTCTGCCTTTCCACCTCCCCAACACCTAGATTTTGCTGGAATAGTGTAATTGTGTCAAATTATAAATATAGATAAAATGTTTTAATCTAAAAACTTAATCTAACTTTTAATCTAATTTTTTTTAATCAGGCAATAATACTTCCCTGCCTAAAATACCTCAAAGGCTCACACTCTTCAGATTATCTTAATATAGCTTTGTAAAATGTGCATCCTAGCTGACCCCACTAAGACTCACCTCACAACATTTACCACTTTGCTAATAAAATTCCAGACACATTGGCTCTTCTTTCTGTTCTCTGGACATAACATACTCATTCCTGCATTCATATATTATTAGTACCACCTCTTTTCTCTCTGGAAAAGCCATCTCTATGATCATGGCTTAACAGACTCCTCATTTAGTCCTTGGAAGTAAGTTTCATCGTAAATAGTTAATAAAAAATTCAGTCCATACTATCATTATCTATCATATCATCCAATTATACTTCTCTGCAGAGAACTTACTATTTCATGTTTTCCTTATTCATTATTAGTCTGTGCCCATCAAAATTAAACTGTAGGTGAGCAAGGATTTTTTCTGTTTTTTCCATCTGTATTCTTTGCCTAGAATATAGCCTGCTTTTATTGATAAATAGTAAGAATTAAAAAATGTGTATATCTGCCCTGGCTGGTGTGGTTCAGTGGCCTGAGTGCCGGCCTGAGAATCCAAAGGTTGCTGGTTTGATTCCCAGTCTGGCACATGCCTGGGTTGTGGGCCAGGTCACCAGTTGGGGCATGTGAGAGGCAACTGATCTATCAATGTCTCTCAAACATCACTGTTTCTCTCCTCTTTCTCCCTCCCTTCCCTTCTCTAAAATAAATAAAATCATTTAAAAGAATTTTAAATATGTATATCTAAAAGGCAGAATGTATTTAGAAATGTATTTGAGGTCAAATATTGGATAAACATTGCTACACAAGGATCATGTTTTTAAAATTGAACCACTGCCCACCATGCTGAGCCATCACATACTAATTCAAAATATTAATCTGCCAGTTAATGTACAAATACCATAATTCAGACACTGAAAGGCACTCTAAACATCCTTATATTTATTGATTGTAAAGGCTATTTAGAAATTAAATATGCCTAGACTCTCTAGTCTGTTTACTGTCTTACTTCCTAGTTTATTTCTACTATTTTCACATTCAATTACTATTTTCTTCACAATATCTTTCATTATGTGGCAAGACAAGTCATTCTTCTCTCCCTCCACTTATTGTTCTTTTAAAAAATAAGTCTGTTGCTCTTCTCAAATATTTGTTCTTCTAATAAACCTAAGAATTGGTCAAATTTCTTAGTAAAGTCACTGAAATTTGGACTAAAACTTCATTAAATGTACTTGAAGAATTTTATGGTATATAAATTAGTAATATATATCATTATTTATGTTATTAAAGTAAACAATATAAACTTACTTTATATTTATTTACAATACTTAAGGTCAATATCAAATAACCATCCAAGAATATATGCCTCAGATTATGTTCTTTACATACATTTACAAAGAAGTTACATATTATTAATTTTCTTACTGGATATTTAATTTTAGTTGCTACTGTGAATGAAATTTTAATCTTTTCAATATATACTCTAATTGATCAGAAGTGAATAAAATACTTATTAATAACTATTAGTCTTGTGGCCTATCATAATGGTTAATTAACACTTATTGAAGTTTCAGATGACTCATAATTACAAGAAAGACAGTATCATCTGAATATAATTTTATTCTCAAATACCTTGAGACAACAATTTAAAATGCTATTACATACTGGTATTACCTCCCTGCAAAACAATTTAGCAGTACTTACCAAGAGCATTAAAAATGTATGTGATGTAGCCAAAAAAATCCTTGCCCAGAGCCATATATTATACAATGCACTAAGCTGTTAATCACTGTGTCATGTATGTAACAGTAAGAAACAACTAGAAATGCCCTAATGGGTAAATAAATTATGTATCTTTAGGACAAGCTATTATGAAGTCATTAAAAATAATATTTAGAAGCCAACTTAATGACAAGGAAAAATGCTAGAGCATACTGTTAGGTGAAAATTCAGAATACACATTTTTATTATGACTCTACATGTGTAAGGTATATTAAAAAGTTATTAAGGAAAAATGACTAGAAAGAAATGCATCAACATCCTAATAACGTTTTGGATGGCAGAGCTCAGAGGGTTGGGCCTCTTCCTGCAAACGGAAAGGCCCCCGATTTGATTCCCAGTCCGGGCACATGCCTGGGTTGCAGGACAGATCCCCAGTTGGGGCGTGTGAGAGGCACAACTATGATCCCCTTTCTTTCTCTCTCCATTTCCCTCTTGCTAAAAATATATAAAATCTTTTTTTAAAAAGATTCTAACAATGTGAGTTTTAAAAAATTTATAAAATCTCTAATTATAACACTTATCTTTTCAAACACACCCTTTAAGTAAACATTTCTATATTCAATAGAAATGGAATATAGAATTCCATTTCTATAGAATTCCAATTCTATAGAATTCCTAGTATTCCATATTTATTCTTTCATTGTATTTTTTTCATTTTTGTACCTTTCTGTTGTTTCAAATTTCTCTAAAATAGGCACATATTCTTTACAATACGTAGAGATATATATTGTAAAGATACACATTGTATAGATACATATTGTATTTAAACTAATACAATATTAGTTTAAAAATAGTATTTTTTTAAACTTTGAGAATCACTATGTGCTTCAATTTCATAAGGGTCAACAGGTTTCTTTATGTAGGGACAAGAAAAAATAAACAGTTCAAACACCAGATTAAATATTCTAAATTCCTGGCACTGTCACATACACTGTGTTCACAACCCATCTGTCTATGAGACAGAAATTTGAGTCATTCAAGTTGTCAAAGTCACCCACTAGCAATAATTTTTTTGTTTGTAAGCTCTGGATCTTAACATTGTTATTTATTTATTATTTATTTCAGTTTAGTTTTACACATATTACATACCTCATTGTGCCCAAAATATAGTACGAATGGAAAAACCATGGAAAAGATTACCTCCCACAAGTACCTAACTTTTGCTTATTAGATAAATCATTCTCTTACATTAAAAAAATCACTTAGTTCCAAGATTTATTGTCTCTCATGTGTTAAGGGACTTTATTACTCTAAAAAACATCATAAAAAAAGATGTGGCATAGTGTTCACAGAGGGAAAAAGCTTATGTGAAAAAATTTAAAAAGTAATCTACTGACACAAAAATTGTTCTCAGATTATCTCTGACAAAGCTAAACACAAAATAATTTTAGGTAAGGATGCAAAGGATTAAATGGGCTAAACTCAACCTAATGACTAAGCCACCAAATAAATCACTCAGGTATATTTATTACAAAGTACTTAGAAAAAGCTGCTGCTGCACATCTAGCCCCTAGCATTAATTAGTCTTAGTACAAAACACAGAAAGAATTTCAGTACCTATTAGTATTATGGAAATTTCAAATTTTACATTGTATAAGTCAGTTTTAAATAATTATTTCATCTGCCTCTCACAAACCTTTAAAGTTCAGCAAATATTACCACATCCATTTTAGAGTAAGTCATGTACCTACTGATAATGCTGGTTACTTATTTCTACATCTCTGACTCTTATCCAGTATTATCCCAACAAGAATGTAAGCAAGTTTCAAGAGTATAGGAATTTCTGTCTGCTCCCAGAAGAGCACCTGGCACAGAGTCTTTGAAGTATGTGCTAAATGTATGAATGAATAAATTTCTCTATAGAAATATGCATAAGAAGCCAAAACAGCCAGAGAAAAATTAGTATAAATCTTCCAAGCTACATTTTTTATTGTAAATTAAAAAATAACGTAAAACCTCTATATTATTCTGATAATATAGCAGTAAGTACATTTTATCTATCTATAGTATAGTATACAGAAAAAAATTTATTTGTATAAAATAAAAGTCAGTTTAAACATGATCACATCAAGAGTGATTTTATATATATTCTTTGGCAAGTTTATTAAAAACATCTAATTAATAGCCTTCCAAAACATATATAGTCACCTATGAGTTAAAAACTTAACAGATATAAAATGAGTCATCTTTACCTGACAATAATAATGATTTACTCAAGAACAAAAATAGGTACCATGGGAATATAATTTTTCTTTCCCAGAAGACAGGTAGCAAAATATTTACATAACCCATTCATTTAAAGCAACAGATATTCATGATGTATTTCAGATTAAAAAATATGCCTAAATCTTCTGCTGACAGGATCATCTTTAAAATTGTATATTAGAAACTTGGTGCTCATACGTTTTATAAAACTTTGCAAGTTATATTCTTTGCCTTCTCCATACATTTAAACAAAATTAGAGAGTTAAAATTATGTCAATAAAATCACAGAATGTCCCTTCTTTTGACCTCCACCAATTACATGAAAGTATTTGTTTAATACAAGGGATATTAACCCGTTTTGGGGGGAATGACTCATAAAATGCTTTTGAAACTCACAGGACAGCAAAAAAAGATATGCGCATACACAAAATATTTTACATACATACGTTGAGTAGAGAAGCTATTCATGTGGACATTTGCTTTAGAAGAATCACAACCATTTCACTATTCAAGAAATGTATATTCTTATGAATTTATTTCCATGTTATTTACATTAAGCAACATTTCTGCTAAAGAATGTGTTTGCCATTACTGTCACAAAAGAACAAACAGTAATCATAAAGTTCTGTTACAAATTTTTGGATCAGAATAGGAATACATTTATTGTTACGAATTTTACCTCCAAGCTTCAGGTATTCTAATTCCATATCCCCCCTTTACTGAAGTGTAACATATAACAAGAAAGATTTTAATAATGGAACTGAAATCAACTTAATACTAAGGCATTTAAACATTCTACCTTTAAAAGGAAAGTAGTCACACATCAGTATAAATACATAATAACCACTCATGGAAAAATGTATATTAAGAATTATGATGAAATGCTACCCACATAAATCAGGTATCATGTTGTGATATTAATATGTCTCCTTTAATTAAAATAATTACTAAGTTTTAATGATGACTCTAATCTATGGATATTTTTCAAAGCATATAAATCATCTGATATTTACTATTATACCCATGCTCTAATTTCATCAATATTAAGCTTACCTTTCCTTTTGGTCCAGACTGCTTAAAACATGAAAAAGAAAAAAAATGTAAGAGGCAAGACCTCATTTGTGATATATTATTGTAGGCTTAGTAACTGTAGTCAATAAGGCAAAAAGTTAATGTGAATAATCAGTTTTAAACATACTATATATGTTACATACTATATTCTGAATCTTGTCAGATAATTTTTTAAATTTTTTATCAACACGAATAGTTCATATCTAAACATTTAAGGCAGAAAAAAGAATGCACAAAAATATTAAAATTATTAAAAGTTTTATTTAACCATCTGACATTTGAGGATATGTTAGAGTAGTTATATAAATAGTCTTCAAGGAACAATATAATTTCCTAAAAGTTATAGGATTTTTAATGGTTCCAATATGAGATGTGATTATTGGTTCTGGGTAAGAAAAAAATTTTTTAAGGTTGAAACTTTTGCACCAAAGCCTTAGTATATGGTTTGGGACGTAAGGAAAGACCTACTATTTACAATCATAGCCTCTAATCATATGCCCAATGTATAAAAGGTGCACCTTCTCCACAGTCATAGATTATCTAAAAAGCTATCAACATCAATTATTTGAGAGTAAATTATAAAAAATACTCAATTACAGTAAGATTTACATCCTAGAACTATTCTTTATTATAAATGTAACAAAATATTTGGAACTGACTCAAAGCAAAACAGTTTATGAAATCCTCAAGTGCCCGTTATTAACCCTTGTATTCTTACGTGGAACATGTAAGTATCAATTTAATCCTGACAAAAATAAAGAAATACAGTAACTTACAAAAACAACACTGAAAATAAACACTTATTTTTTTAATATTTAAGAAAAAGAATTATTATAATTTACACAATGCTGTGTTTCAGATTTTACCTTTGCTATCTAAAAAAATGGAATAACTTGGAGCTCTGGCCAAGATGGAGGTATAGGTAGATATGCTTTGCTTCCTCACACAACCAAATGAAAGATAACAACCAATTTAAAAACAAAAACAACCAGAACTGCCAGAAAATCAAACTGTATGGAAGTCTAATAACCAAGGAGTTAAAGAAGAAACATCATCCAGGCTGATAAGAGGGGCTGAGACAGGAAGCCTGGGCAGGGAAGGCACACAACAAGGTGGCAAACGGCAGTCCAGGGCAGGGGAGGCAGTGGCCGGCAGACCAAAATATCCTACATTCCAGTGCAGATAAGCCCGGAAGAACAACTGGGGAGTAAGACCATGCAACCCAGAGTACCAGCATGAGAAACTAAAGCCTCAAAACCTCTAATTTTAAAAACCTGTTAAGGGTTGCAGTGGCAGGAGGAATTCCCAGTTTCATAGGAGAGTCCATTAAACAGGTCCCCAGGATCCTAGAGCACACACAAGCCCACCCTTCCAGGGAAACAGCACCTGAAAGGACACAATCTGTGGAAAGTGAGGGAAGTGATGGAAAGTGGGATGAGAGGTGAGTAAGCTACCAAGCGGTATTATTCCCTCTCTGACCCCTCCCTCACATACGGTGCTACAACCTCTCCCTAGCAAATGCCTTAGGTTCTGCCCTTTACAATGTAATAGGTACACCAGTAAAAATAAATATGAACCAAATGAAAGAACAGATCAAAACTCTAGAAAAAAGTACTATACTACAAGTACATACACAATCTATCAGATGCAGAGTTTAAAACACTGGTAATGACGATACACTCACAGAAATGGTTAAGTATACTCACAAAACAGAGGAAGAAGTGAAGGCTATGCCAAGTGAGATAAAGAAAAATAGACACGAAGACAACAGTGAAAGAAAGGAAACTGGGACTCACATCAAAGATTTGGAACAGAAGGAAGACATAAACATCCATTCAGAACAGAGTGAAAAAACAAGAATTCAAAAAAAAATGAGGAGAGACTTATGAAACTCTGGGACAACTTCAAACATTCCAACATCTGAATCATAGGGATGCCAGGAAGAGAAGGGGGAGAGCAAAAAATTGAAAACTTATTTGAAAAAATAATAAAGGAGAACTTCCCCAGCCTGACGAAGAAACTAGACATTCAAGTCCAAGATATTCAAACTGTCCCAAAGAAGCTGGATCCAAGAAGAAACACAGCAAAGCACGTCATAATTACATTACCCAAGATTAAAAATAAGGAGAGAATCTTAAAAACAGCAAGAGAAAACAGCAAGACAGTTACCTACAAAGGAATTCCCATAAAACTATCAACTGATTTCTCCAAAGAAACCTTATAGGCAAGAAGGGGCTGGAAAGAAGTATTCCAAGGCATGAAAGGTAAGGACTTACATCCAAGATTACTCTATACTGCAAAGTTTTCATTTAGAATGGAAGGGCAGATAAAGTGCTTCCCAGAAAAGATCAAGTTAAAGGAGTTCATCACCACCAAGCCTTTATCATATGAATTGTTAAAGGGACTTATCTAAGAAAAAGAAGAAGATCAAAACTATTAACAGTAAAATGAGAACACACAACTATCAACAACTGAACTTAAAAAAAATTAAGCAAACAACTAGAACGGGAACAGAATCACAGAAACAGAGATTACGTGGAGGGTTATCAGTGGGGAGGGGAAGAATGAAGGAAAAACATACAGGTAATAAGAAACATAATTGCTAGGCACAAAACAGACAGGAGAAATTAAGACTAGTATAGGAAACTGCCCTGGCTGGTGTAGCTCAGTGGATTGAGCACTGGCCTGGGAACCAAAGGATTGCTGGTTCAACTCCCAGTCAGGGCACATGCCTGCAGGCCAGTCCCCTGGTGGGGGGCATGTGAGAACATCATCTTGATGTTTCTCTCTCTCTCCCCCCCTTCCCCTCTGTCTAAAAATAAATAAATAAAATCTTTAAAGGAATAAAATCATGAAATGTGTACACACACATATGTATGTATGTGTATATATATACATAGATATTAACAGTATAGGAAATGAGGCCAAAGAACTTATATGTACAACCCATGGACATGAACTAAGGTGGGGGGGAATGTGGATGGGAGGGGGTGTACAGGGTGGAAAAGGGATAGAGGGGAGAAAAAAAACTGGACAAGTGTAATGGCATAAACAAAATATACTTAAAAAAAGAAATCTGTAAAAATAGAAATAAAAGTGGCAGTATTTGTCACAATAAAAATATGGGATAATATGTATAAGTTTATGTTGCATAAATGACAGAAAAATGAGGAAGTATTATCTTTACACCCCTATTAAAATGAAACAAAATATAAATATAAAAGTTTAAATATTTACTTATGTATTTGTATTTTTTCTTATGGAATTATATTTACAGGAACAGAAAAATGAAAACCAAAAGTTACATATTAATACCTAATCTAGCCATTTCCAACTCTACACTTATGCCCAAGAAGTGGGAAGAGTTTATTGCACTCTTGTTTTTTCGTTTTTTTTTTTTTTTTTTTAAACTCACCTGTATGGAGTAAAAGAAAGAGGTACAGAGGTAGTAGCAGTAAAAGAAAAAGATTTGATTCTTTCAATAAACCAAGGGAATTAGAAAGGAAACAAAAACAACATATGTATACTCATGCTAATTTATTATGGTATACCTACTTTATAAGTCATGGTACTTCTATGGGATTCCTTAATGCGTATTTATTATCCAGCCCTGCCCTCAAGGAGCTTATATATTTAAAAATAAAAAGTACTTTAAAAAATAGAGAGTGAAGCCTGATTAGTAATGTAGGACTTTGTAAATATGTCAATATACATTCTTCCTCCATTATTTCATTCTTGAACTAGTGGTATACTAGTGCTCTTAAAGTTAAGGAAGAAAGAAATGGAGGGAGGGAGGGAGAGATGGAGGGAGGGAGAGAGAGAGAGAGGGAGCAAGCAAGGAAGGGCTGATTGAGTCTATTATCCATGACTTGATTTAGACTTCAAAAAGTTATTTCAAAGTACTGTTTTTATTAATAATTAAATCTTGCTAATTCCAGGAGCCCATTTTCCCATTTGTGTACATGCTTTTGTAAACATTCCTTTCCCCTATGGGCTTACGAGGGTTTTTTTACCTATACTTAATAAAAAGTGAAAATGAAAAAAAGTGAAATGTAAACAAAACATAAATAAGTAAATGTACTCTTGTAGCAAGAGCTTTTGATTAAAGTTAGGGGTGAAAATGGTATACAGTTACATACAGTTTTTAATTTTTGCATTGCTTTTTTCTATGGCAAATACTATCATCTTCCTCCATCCCTATTAGTGTATAAACAACAATTCTTTTAATATAAATTAACATTTTAAATAGCAGTAAGAAAACAGGCTAGAATTGTAATGTTATCTGATACATTAATAATCTCCATCCATCGCTTTTAGATTAAAAGGTGTGACATACTTATTTCCATTTCTTACTAAGATCTGTAAATTATTCAAAATGCAGGTCTGATTTACTTAAGAGACAAGTTACTCCACTCACCCCAAGAAGAATAGACTGCATGTATGAATTACCAACTGGTGGAATTTTCTTTCATTTTGAATCAAGTATTGAGAAAATAATAAAAATTAGAAGCTGTAAAAGCCAATGTGCTCACCGTCATCTGAGACCTGCACTAATTAAAACCAATGTAGCAACCATCCTTTCTTTGACTTTGAAGATGTGGTTCCTACTGCATACAATGTTCTTGTTTAACTAGTACACTCAAAAGCTACTTTAATACTTTGTACATCTCTACTATTGCATTTACTATGTAATTATCTGTTCACTTGTCTTTCTGACCTCTACTTTAATCAAACTTGAGCTTTAAGGCATGGACTTTGTCATATTCATCTTTGACTACACTGTGCCTCTCTATGCCTGCTATGTAGCATGAAATGAATGTTTTTGATAGAAGAAAATTGGAAAATTTTTCAATGGCTTGTCTGAATTTCAAAATCTTTTTACTGACAGTCACACTGCAACAGGAAGAGTAAGAAATGCTTATTCTGTAAGAAAAGTAGAATCTACCCTGCTGACATAACTCCTCAGGTTTTCCTTATTGTCCCTAGTTGTTCTTGTCAAGTATTTTCACTGAGGACTGTTTCTTTAAATACAAATTAACCCAGTTTTGTTTTGTTTTTAAAGAAATAGTACTTTACAAGCTAATACCATTTCCTATTAAGAGAATCTAATCTTTCGTGCAGATGAGGAGTGGTATACATGCAAGGTAGACCATGTGCAGAGACTTAGAATAAAACAAAACAAACTAATTTCCAGACTAAAGTCAGTTTTTTAACACTGCCAATGAGGAAAGAAGGGATAGAGAGAACAGGTCACAGTGCAGATAAATCCAAATAACAGGTAACTTCAAAAGCATTATTTTTGGTTGCAGAATATATCACTTGATTACAAATTAGTATTTCAACTTTGAGCACATTTTCATAATATCAAGTACACAGCCATTTATCAGTGATGGATTCCATTAATGAGATCAGTGTGTGAGAAACAATACCCCTCTCCTTTAATTATTTATTTTCTTGTTTCTGCCACATACAGGCCAGAGAGCTTGATTTGTTTGTGTACTTTATAGTAAACCAAGCTTATTTATGTTATTATGTGCAGTAATTTCATTTTTACTTGAATTTCTCAAATATTTTATTTTGTACTGTGAAAACAATGATAAAAATAACATATTTAAGTAAAAAAAGGTTTTCTCACTATCCTAATATATGAGAAAGATTTAAGGTTTTTAAGTAAAAAATATATGTTATTGCAAATCTATGTAAATGGTAAACATAGCAAGGATTTCTAAAAGTCAAGACACTTTCTGAATGAGTAGCAGTTTCACTTGGTATTTTTAAATAATGAAGAATGGCATCTAGCATGCATACCAAATCTTTAAATCTTACTACTTACAAAAATTTTTATGCAACAATTCAATGCAAGAAATAAACACATTATTTGTTAGAGCCTAAGAATTTCTTAGTCAACTGATATTGAATGAGAACTAAAATTTCATAACCATTTTTTGATGGTTATGAAAAATCTCAAAAGCATTTAAAAAACTTTCCCCACTGTTATTCTCATTATTTCAAGGTTCAAAGTAGTACTCTCAAAACCAGTGAGAAAATCCAAATCTACTAAAACACAAAATTTTCTTAAATATTTAAAAACAATAATGTGACTTATTTTTGATACCATAAAATCCTATAAACCTTATAAGAAAACTGTACTATAGTAGTTTTAACTAGTTTTATTCATCAGAGGTAAACTTCCAGCTGAAGATTTCTGTCAAATGCTTTAAGTTCAATGTTGTAAAGAAACTAGGGTAATTTTAACTAGAATATAATGCAATTGAATGGCTTTCATTTAAAAAGTCTCTATTTACAAAATGTAACTTATTCAAAAGTTGCTATAAAATAATAAAATTCTAGGACATGCATTATTTCAAAAACATGAATATATCTTTATAGACAAGAGAAACAGTAAAATTTTACAAGTAAAAAATGGTTTTAAAAAAGTAGTGAAATAACTCTTATTAAAGGGGATGGTATGGATATACTAAACAAAGGCAACAGAATCCTTACCTTTGAGCTGCTGTTTTTACTGTTGGTATCTGTGCATTAGCATGATGAAAACGTCTACCATCAATGACAGTTCCAGAACATAATGATGCATTTAATGTATTTTCACTGCAAATTCAAGAAACAAAGTAAGAAAAAATTGCATACACATGTGCAAAATAAATCCTTTAAAATCTGAGCACACAAACAAAAACACTTAAAAAATTTATAGGTAAACCCAATTGGCCATGTTAAATTGTCCATTAGGAGTTCTCCACTTTCTGAATTTGTCTCTGAATGTTTCCAATACAGTTCATGAAAGAAGATAAAGAGTAAAATACTAAAACAGAAATCAGGAATCCTAAAAGAATGCTTTGTACTGTAAGACTTCTGATAAATTAATTCAAATATGTTTTCACTTTTTCTATTTAGAGGCTATTTATAACAAGTTTTTAAGCCCTGGCTGGCATAGCTCAGTGGATTGAGCGCTGACCTGCAAACCAAAGGACTGTGGTTCGATTCCCAGTCAGGGCACATGCCTGGGATGCAGGCCAGTTCCCAGCAGGGGATGCACGAGAGGCAACCATATACTGATGTTTCTCTCCCTCTCTCCTTCCCTTCCCCTCTAAAGATAAATAAATAAAATATTTTTCTTTAAGTTTTTAAACTATAAATACTAGTTTTCTTACATGCCAAAATTAAAATGTTAATTATAAAAAAATAATAATGAGTCCTAAATTCTACTTCTGACTCTCCCACTGACTCAAAAGTTACTTAGACTTTATAAAGCTCAATTGTCTGTCTGTAAATTGACACAGCAGAAATGAAATAGTGATTTTCAGCGGTATTTCTGGGAGGTGCCCAATCATGTCAGTAACAGTGGTTCACTATGACAACCACTAAGAAAGACTGAGTTGTATCTAAAAGAGAAATAAAAAAATTTTTTAAGTAAAAAAAACAAAACTTATTGAGATAATACAGACAAGACTCCCCTAAATAAAACACGACTATCTACCCAACAATGACTCCTACTTCTAATATCATGACTGAGATTTTACAAACTACATGAAAGCAAGTTCATCTTATAAATCTTAGTCTACTGAAAATTTTCTTGCAATATTTTTATTTATAACCAAGAAATCACTGTAAATAACTCCATTCCTAAGAATCAAAATTCACATACTGGGACTACTCTACTTGGCCCTACTGACAAGACGTGAAAATAAAGGTATAGGTTGGGCCAACTGGCCACAAAGATAGTTTTAGTGTCAAAGCCTTTACATTTTCTGTAGGAATGTGTGGTGAAGTGTCTATACCTCAGTTTTTTTTTGTTGCTCAACATGTTAAGTCCAATTGGGTTGCCTTTTAAAGGTTTTAGATTTTCAGTCTTGTTTCGTCTTGCATATGTCTTCCAGGAATCACCAGAACCAGTAGCAGCAATTTCAGACTGACGATTTAACTGGAAAAAAAATCCACAAATGTTACAGAAACAACAAATACTATAATATGATCATTTATCAACAACTACTTGAAAATCCATTTATGAAGAGGGTAGTAAAAATTAAGGAGGAATGGAAAGGATGGCAGTGGCATAAATCCAAGAGTAACTAAACTGTAATACTTTTTCCCTATGTACAACACAAATACATAGGAGGATGGGTACTTATGATATTATTTTCTTTTCATTTAAATATCTCTAAAGATATTTGAGAAAATGAAGAGACAAAAACACAAGGGATGCCCTGGCTGGTATGGCTCAGTGGATTGAGTGCCAGCCTGTGAACCAAAGGGTCACTGGTTTGATTCCCAATCTAGGGCATATGCCTGGGTTGCAGGCCAGGTCCTGGGGGGGGGGGGGCGGCATGCGAGAGGCAACCACATATTGATGTTTCTCTCCCTTTCTTTCTCCCTCCCTTCCTCTCTCTAAAAATAAATAAAAGATCTTAAAAGAAAAGCATAAGGGATGAAGGTACATGATCTTAGGATAGCTCTTCATCAAGAGTAAAAAACAAACATCTCCCCTGCTTAACAGGCCTTGCTGCTATCTCTAGGGCAGTACAGCCAAATATAGAGTAAGTTATCATTTCAACTACAATGACTTTGGTCTTAGCATGGAAGTTTCTATATGAACACAGAAACCATGATGTCTTCTTCATACTTTCATCGTTGTATATGATAATATAAATGTATCAATAACAAGCACTTTAGGTAGGTCACAGTATGACTACAGAATGGCCCATTACTTGGAAAGCTCTTCTAAAAGAAACCTACTTTTATTACATTCATTGCACAAAAAAGTTAAAAGCTGCTTTCAGACTCAGGACAAAGGACCTCAGTTCTTAGTGATAATTTACCCAAAACAAGATTTTAAAAATCATTCTTATATCCTTTAATTATATTTTTGAAACAACAGTGTATTATTTTATTTTCTTTTTTATTCTTTTGTAAGAAAATATAGTCATAAGACAGCAACTTGTCTCTCTTCCCCCTCCCACTTATCTTATCTCTATAGAAACCTAACACTTGCCACAAAAAAAGTCCGAAAAAGAAAGCTCGCTGTGCCAGCACCATCCTTGTTTTTAGGTATATCTACATTACAAAATTCCAAAAACACCAATTTTTGACATGCTGCTTATCATGTTCTGCTTCTTGAGACATGTCTTTACCTCCTAATCTTTTAGAGCCATGTACTTCAGACTCCTTCACTTCTGGTAATTACTGGCGTATTAGGTAATGCAGATCAATCTTCCCTCTAGTCTCTGAAAACAACTAGAAAAGCTGGACAAACTACAAATTTAAAAAGAAAAATGGGTGTTCAGGCATCTGAGGGCTACCAAGGGAGTGAAGTATTAAGAAAACTCAGAAATCTGAGCCCAGAGTCATACTTTTCCAAAGGCACCTTTTGATCCCAAAGATGCAGCTGAAAGGCTGAGAAACTATACTGAACTTCCAACAGATTCAGAGCTAAGGAGGCAAAAAGTGGAGTTCAAGACCTACCAAATATGAAGGACCGTGTAACCAGATCAAAATCTGGATTAGGACTACAGTCCATGAATAAGGGTGAATTAGAACTGTCCTCTCACAGAGTGAAATCCAGCTTACAATTATCTCAACCTCCAATTCAATTAAGAGTAAATCAGAATAAGCTGGTTCAAATTTTGAGTACATCAGAGTAACCCGGATGGTTTGTTAAAACAAACTGCAGTGTCTGACCCTTACAGTATATTCTGAATGAGCAGGTCTGGGATGGCCCTGAGAACTTGCATTTCAAACAAGAGCACAAGTGATACTGATGCTGCTGACAAGAGGACATTTGAGAATGCTACTAGTCCTAGTTATTAGCCAGAAGTAAACATATATCCCCCCTAGACAAAGATAATGCTGTTCTAGGCCTCAAATTATCTCTGATTTTTCATATGCAATAGCTACCGTGCATAAACAGGCCCATCAATCTAAGGGAAAAAACTAAAAATAGGAACACGACAATGGGGGATAAAAATAATGGGATTATCATACTCTTTCATTTCCACTAGTAAAAAATACAACCACTTCTGCATTTTTTAGAGGAAATATAGTGTTATTGTGGAGAGATAATGATTTAGAAATCAAATAGGCTTGTTGTCTCTTTCCAGCCACTCAACTTTCCTTGTAATCATGGGGTTATCTCATGTTTACCAAAACATATAACACATATACAAATGGCCTATTTTTGGAATGCACAAATAGGATTTCAGTAACAGTCTTATTCAATTAAAAACACATATACCTTCAATTAGAAAGACCATAAATTATTTTATCATAAACAGTTGGTCATTAAGCTGCATTCAGCCACAAAAAATTAAGCCTATCCAGTCATTTTTATGTATGCCTCTTCCCTCATTATTTTTTTTAATGACTTAAGTAAATGTTTCTTAAAATGTGGTTGCTAGATAAGCAACATCTACATCACCTGGGAACACTTTAAAATACAAATGATCTGGACCCACTCCAGACTTCCAAAATCAGAAACTAAGGGTACAGTGAAGCATTTGTTGCTAGAACCTTCCAGGTGATTCTGATATACACTAATGTTGAAGAGCCATGGCTCTAAGTGATTTTGATATACAAGGCCTGTCTGGGAAAAGTCCAGCCATTGTTAATATGGCAAGAATGATTTGCGTGATATCAATGTAATCTGGCAGCCAAGGAGAGTGGACTGGAATGAGCACGTATGAATGACAACTTCAATGTACTAGTCAGGGGGGACAGTAGATGCCATTGAGTGGGCATGGGTACTATGTGGCCATCACATTCAAAATGACAGTGAGTACAGCAACAAATCTGCATCAAATTTGAATTAAACTTGAACATTCCTCTGCAGAAACTACTCAGATGATTCAGAAGGCCGCAGCTATGGACAACTGGGTGATTGGCAGCTTCATCAAAACAATGCACCTACATATTCATCATGTCTAATGCAATTTTTTGGTGAAACATTGTATCAACCAGGTGACAGCCCTGCCACATCCCAGATTTAGTGACCTGCAATTCTGGCTTTTCCCAAAATTAAAATCACCAAAAGGGTAGAGATTTCAGAGCCTCGATGAGATTCAGGAAAATATGACAAGGCAGCTTATAGTGACTGGGAGAACTGCGTGAGGTCCCAAGGTACCTACTCTGAAGGGGACTAAGGCATCATTGTCCTATGTACAATGTTCCTTGTATCTTTTTCAATGTCTCTATTTTTCTAATTACATGGCTGGATACTTTCTGGACAGACCTCATATATCATGATATCATATATATCATGTTAAACACCTTACAAGCAAAAAGTTTCCATTACAAACTGACCATATTTTGCCATGTATAATGCTCTCCCATATATAATGTGCACCCACATGTTTATGCACATTATAAACAGGATTATTATGCCCATTTTTATACCCATGGCATATAGTCATTATACCCATTAGATGTCTGGTACATCCTTACATTACCCTAAAAAATTCAAGCAAAAAGTGCCCATTTATACATGGCAAAATATGGTAATTTCATTCCTGTACATAGTTGATCACAACTACTATTTATTGAATGCTTGCTATGAATAGGCATTATGCTAAGTACTTTATAATTAATATCATTTAATCTCCATATTTTATACATTTCAGTAGTTCTTTAGAATGGGATTCAACAATTATACGTGAAACATCAGATCCATTGCTTGATGCTACTGAATGACATGATTAATACACCCAAATTTCACACTTCAGTTTCTGTTTTTTTCTCAACAAAATCTACCACATGTCATTTAAACTTTACTGAAGCCCTATCCCTATGTTATGAAGAGTGAACTTAAAAATCAAGGAAACTTCTCCAAACTAGTTAAATGGATTTGAACTAAGACTGATTTGGCTCCTATAAAATACACATAGGGTACATAGTCAATAATATTTCAATAACTATCTATGAAGTCAAATGGGTACTGGAAATATCAGGGGGAACACTCTGTGAGGTACATGATTGTCTAACTACTGTGCTGTACACCTGAAACTAATACAAATACTGAATGTAAACTGTAATTGAAAAATAAAATTTAAATTAAAAAATGACTGATATGATTCCAAACTCTATGATTTCTCATATAACACTGTATGAGTTTTTATAGTGTTGTTTGTAGAAATATAAATATTGATCGTTAAGGAGAGGTAAAAACAAGCAATGTTATTTTAAAAAATAACTCAAGATCATTAGGATACAGAACATCTCAAAAATCAAAAGAACTATACTAAAAATTCCTTAATAAAAATGTAGAAAGGTAATCCTCTTAAGAATTGTTTAAACTAAAATTATCTCACCCAATATACAAGTATAAGCATATAACTCAGCTAATTCAACCATCTTACTGATTAAGTGCTTATACATTTTCAATTTTTCTTTTGAGAAAGCATTTTGGTATAGCAACAGACAATCTAAAGCCCATCATTAAAGCAATTAGATCTATATAAGTTGAATTCTTAAATTTCTCAATTCTGTGCCTAGAAGTTGGTTACTATCAAAAGCTATATCCATTTCAATCAGCAACAACCAGTACTTCTAGCTTTGTCAGATAGCTGTATCTCATGAAAAACATTTATTATATTGTCAAATTTCCTTAGAAAACATTCCCTACCGCCTGTTATACTTAGACGGTGGCTCCAAGGAAAAAAAACAACCACTCCATAGGAGAATCACAAGATGTAAATTTGTAAAAGATTCTCTTTTCACACAAATAGAGCTAACTGTTGAATTAAATTACAACAAAAATTACATTAGATGCCTGGCACATCTACTTCTCTCTGCCTAATTAATAATTTTTATTTTTCTCATTTTATTTGTGATCTTAGTTATCCATATCAAATTCTGGGGAAAATAAGGTATAAAATGATAAAATTGAGCCATTTATGGTTGACTATGTCACAAATTAGAGCACTATAACTACAA